TTTTCTCTGTGTGTATATATTTGTATGTAACATATATATATGTGTGTGTATGTAGATATATATGTGTGTATATATATTAGAGTGTGTCAGTGTTGCTGAAAAGCCTTAGAAGCATATCTGACCCCCAAAAAAGGTTTGGGGATGGGACATGTGAAAAACTGTAGGTCCTGTGGGGTAATGTGTTGTATGTGATATATTGATAACATCTGTGTGGTAATTGCTGTTTGGTTTTCGTGGACAGCAGAAATTTATATCAGATACTCAGAGGGGGTGACTGTGCTGCTGTTTTCCTGCAACAACAGTGTCTCCATCTCTTGTATCTGAAGGTTACCGGGAGCAAATGTGGGAAAGTACTTTACTCTGACAGGAGACAAAAGCTGTGCTTATAAAAATGTATGTGTTTAGTGTCAAAAGAACAACTGCTTAGAAGTGTCATAGAGGTTGTGCCAGAGAAACTACTGGAGTTTCGTGCCAAGATATCCCAAAAAAAGGAAGGATGATTGTTCTCCAGTTCCCACAGACAAATTCAAACCTAAGGCCCCTGAGCTAGAAGCAGTTGTATAACAAAGGTAACATAATGACGATAAATAAAGGAAATGAAGTTTCTGCTATGCATGTTAATAAGGGAAAATGACACAATGTGCTTGTATTTCTGAAAGGATTAAAGCATTTGGGTTGCCTTGCCCTGCTGGGCAGTGTAGGCTTTTTTTCCCCTATAGTGACTGACTGGTCATCCCAACAGAGAAAGGAGCAATTGGAATGACAGGAAGCTGAACATGAGCCAGCAGTGTACCCGGGTGGCCAAGAAGGCCGATGGCATCCTGGCCTGGATCAGGAACAGCGTGGCCAACAGGATTGGGGAAGTGATTCTTGCCCTGTACTCAGCACTGGTGAGGCCACACCTGGAGTGCTGTGTCCAGTTCTGGGCCTCTCAGTTCAGGAAGGATATTGAAGTGCTGGAGCAGGTCCAGAGAAGAGCAACAAGGCTGGTGAAGGGACTTGAGCACCAAGTCCTATGAGGAGAGGCTGAAGGAGCTGGGGCTGTTCAGCCTGGAGAAGAGGAGGCTCAGGGGAGACCTCATCACTCTCTTCAACTCCCTGAAAGGAGGTTGTAGCCAGGTGGGGGTTGGTCTCTTCTCTCAGGCACCTATCAGTAGGACAAGAGGGCATGGTCTTAAGCTGTGCTAGGGGAGGTTTAGGTTGGATATTAGGAAAAAATTTTTTACAGAGAGGGTAATCAGACATTGGAATGGGCTGCTAAGGGAGGTGGTGGATTCTCCATCCCTGGAGGTTTTCAAGATGAGACTGGATGTGACAGTACCATGGTCTAGTGACCACAGCGATATTGGATCAAGAGTTGGACTTGATGATCTTGGAGGTCCCTTCCAACCCAACTGATTCTATGATTCTGTGATTGTATGAATAAATTATATAGGAAAAGCTAAATAAATTATTTGTGCTTCACAGGTCTGTGCTTAGCATCAGAAGTAAAAATGTCGCACTAAATTTTAGGAGCAGAGAGCTTCCCAAATTCTGCATCATGTCCTTGTATCCTTATATGATACAGGGCCGTATAGTAACATTTTGATGCCTGCACCCCTGCATTCGAGTAGTCCTAAAGCAGAATGGGCACAGCAGGATAGTAGTTGAAAGGTAAATTTCTGGATTTATTTGCATTCCTTAGGAAGACTTCCTGAGCTTTAAGAAAACTTAGTTTGGATGTGTTTGTTTTTTCAGGAAGTCTTTCTGCAGTTTATGCCAGTTTAGTTGTGAATTGTAGAGCAGTACTGAAGTGACTCCTGTTTTATTTAGAACACTGCAGGTAGCTCTTGTGCTTAATGCAAGCCCATTCTTAATAAAAGATTGTATTATTTTTTAAATATCTTGAGTCAGTTTCTGTAAATTAGTTTTATTTATGTTGTTTTGTTTTAGCTTCTAGCATTTCTTATAAATGCTTTTCTTAAGAGATTCCTCTCTCCTCCCCCAGACTGAGTGATCTCTTTTAAATATCTTTCCTGCTGCACTTGGTAAGCAGTGAGTGTTTAACTGGATAAATCAAGCTGTCAGATAAATAGAGGGATTAAACCCAGCAATATTGGTCCTTTTTCACTTTCCCAGCAGGGTGACAGATAAATTAGTCCCTACGGTAACAGAATCATCGAACAGCATAGGTTAGAATGTACGTATTACATTATGTATACGAAAGTGTGTGAATGTGTGTATTTTAGGATCTTTTTGCATCTGTTTATGGACGCACTGACGTCGTGTTCTTAACTGTGTCTGATAATAATCCTTAGAAGCAACTTCCATAATTCACCTTGTGAGGGGAGACAATTCTACATCAAATCCAATTTTAATGAGGAGCTCTGTGGGTTCATTTGTACCATCAGCTGACAGCTGGAAACTCTGAAACCTCCCTGTTCACTCAGTATCCAGATAAGGGTGGTTGCTGGAGAAACTGGGCAAAGGAAATAGAAAAGCTTTGAGAAACTGAGTTTCATCCCTGACCGATTGGTGGCATGGGATTGCGGGGATTGCTTGTTCTCAGACTGCTGGAAAGGATATCAGTAAAATATGAGCTGAACTGCAGTTCATTGTAGATGTTCTGACAAGAATGATGTTTACAAAAGTTGATGGCAAATTGACTTCTCATTTAAATAGGCATTGGTAGCTGGAGAGATAAAATAAGCATGAACATCTCATCCTGGCTATAATCAGGAAAATGGCCTTTGGGTGATCATCTGGCAACACAAAGGACAGACATGAAAACTTTCTGCAGAAAACTTTATTTTCGTACATCTTGATAAAAATTCAGATTTTTCCGTATGTTGGATCTATAACTTCCTATTTTTTACTTTATTTAGAATATCAGATACAAACTTTTAGATAGACAAAGTGTTATTTGATGTTGCCATATATAGAATATAAATATTAAAATATGTGAAGATTTTTACAGATCAATGAGTTGTCTAATTCTAACTTCAACTATTTCCCATTGGTACAGTTGACAAACAAAAATACTACTATAAGAAGTCACTCTAGTTATATTGTTTATTGTTGTAACTATCATTTTCCAAAGTTTATGCTAAGGAGTTGGGTAAATTTGGTTATGAAATGGAAGAAAAACACAAAGGAATTAAAGAAAATCACACCAATTAATTTCGAAACATAACTTTATAAACAGACAGGTGTGGCATAAACCATCCTGTGAAATACTCCCCCAAATTCTCCTCTGTTTGACTTTGGTTTTAAAAATGAGCTCTGCAGACCTTATTAAGCCTTGCTTTTCTGAAGTTAGTGTTATTAAAACATAAAGAGATAGAAATGAAAAATAAAATGCTGTTTTAGAAAGATTTTGCAAAGTCCCTACTCAGACATGGTCCACAGAAAAGCCCTGCTGTCTTTTAGGGCTGATTCAAAGGTTTGTGCTCACCTCTAGGTACCATACAGCACATTATAAATAGTTTAGTGCTGAAGTGGTGTTTTTTCAAGTGGCTGTAGTGAGGACACATTCTAATTTAGCAAAAGGGAGGAATGTGTTAGACCAGATTATTGGTGGAGGTTGGAGCAAGTAAAGAAACACAAGCAAGAAAACAGCTGATTGTTACTGGAGGTTGAGGAACACGGGCCAGTTGTCTTTTCACTCGATTTAAAATGTTTGCTCCTTCTGAGGACAGCTGGGGAGAGGGGAATCCCAGAGGGTATAGAGACTGAAAACTTAATTGGATCAGTCAGTTAAAACTAAGGCACTGGAAGGATCATCTGGGATGTGCTGAGAAAAGTCGGACCTCTAAGACTCACTTAGGTTGACACGTGTGGTGGAAATTAACTCTTCTGTTTATCAGTCGAGCCTCAGAGATGTATTAATCCTTTCAGGTGGGAACATGCAGAATGTAATGCAGAAAACCTGTCTGCTTGTTTGTTCCTGTGAGGTTGGAAAGCTCTGCAAAAAGGGTATTGATTAACTTCCATCCTATAATACCTACACAATCCTTCTCATTGGCATGATTCCAATCTGCTCAAAGTGCTTGGTTAATTGACATCCCGGGGTGGTTTGAGAGTGGATACTCTGAGGCCAAGTAGGTTTTATATATGTCTTTTACTGGCAGCTTTCTGCTGGCTGCTGCTTCAGTGCTCATTCTGTAGCTGTGTAATTGTGCTCACAGGTGGCAGGGACACTGTGTGCCCTCTTTTTTTGTTTCTTTTTAATCACTGTATCTGTTTAATGTTGTATTAACAGCTGTACAAATTGAATTGATAACACAGCATCCAATCTTAATTTCAAGGAGCAGTTAGGAAGAGTAGCCAGTGTAGAAAAGTTGCATCTTGTAAAGTTTGCTGGCACTAGGTTCCTCCTTAAACTAGGAGGAACTGTGGACATGTTGGCAGGACTGAGTTGCCAGTAATATCATCCTTAACAGCCTGGAGTGCTAAAGGACTGAGAGAAATCAAGTCCTTTAGCACAAGGAAAGGTCTTGAAATAGTTAGGACATAAAGGACAGAATACTTTATTTAAGCTGCATATAGGAAAAATGCAAGTAAGTTCACGTGAGAAGTTTTACTACATGGAACAAAATCTTTAAATGCAAAGGATAATTAAATATGGTAATAGTTAGCACAGGAGAATTATTTAACTGTTTAATCAACATAAGTCTTTAAAAACAGGTAAGGCAAATGCTTGTTTTGATTGGCGAAATGGTGTTTGTATCTGCCTGGCAGGTATACTAGACAACCTCTTACAGTCTCTTTTGGGCTTGCTTGCTGTTGCTGTTTGGTTTTGTTTTTTTTTATTTGCACTTTTACAATGGTTAGAAGAATCATTTTAAAAAACATACCACCCTTAGAAATGTTCTCAAGCCGCTTAAATAGCTCATCTCTTCATTCTTTACCGATTCAATTCTTAACAAAGGAAAGACAAAGGAAAGTGCACCCTTGTAGCCTTCAGTGTTCTTCATGAAGGGAGTATAACAAACTGAAAGTCACATGTTTTTTATTTGCAGGTTACAGGATGACAGAATTAGGATAGAAAGGATGCAAAATGTCAATTTTGAATACAGCCATGCTTTCCAGCTGATTACTGACTTCTATGCAAAAGAAGTGCCTGGTACCACAGGTATGTCATTCCACATGGCTTTGAAGTGCACATCCTGTTGGCCTTTATATCCACACTGGCTTTCCGCCACCTTTGCTTAACGTTCTGTGCAGTGGGATCTTTTTTTGAGCTTGGAAGAAGTGAACCTTGAAAGTGAACTATCTAAATAGAAATGAATATGGGGCTAGCAATGCTTTTTTTCATAGCTTGAAGATGTGTGTTTAGACAGATTTAAATTCACAGATACATAGCAACTAGGAGGAATTACTCAACATCAAGTTCACAGAATCCCAGGATATTTGGGGCTAGAATGGAACTCTGGAGATCACTCAGCCCAACCCCCTGCCCAGGCAGGGTCTCCTGGATCAGGTGACACAGGGATGTGTCCAGTGGGTTTGGGATGTCTCCAGACAGGGAGACTCCACACCCTCCCTGGGCAGCTGTTCCAGGCTCTGCCACCTCCATGGAGAGAAGTTCTGCCTCATCTGAGGGGAACTTGTGTTTGAGTTCATGGCCCTTGCTCCTTATTCTGTCACTGGGCACTGCTGAACAGAGTCTGAGACCATCCTCTGACAACCCTTGGGGATATTGGTGTGGATTGATGGGATCCCCTCTCGGTCTTCTCCAGGCCCAGGTCCGGCAGTCTCTGCTCATCAGAGAGATGCTCCAGACCCTTCACTATCTCTGTGGCCTCTGCTGGACCCTCTCCAGTATCTCCTCGTCTTTCTTGTCCTAAGAAGCCCAGAACTGGGCACACTATTCCTATGTGGCCCCAGCAGGACCAAGCAGAGGGGCAGGATCTCATCCCTGACCTGCTGGCCATGCTCTTCCTGATGCACCTCAGGATCTCATTGTCTCTCCTGGCCCCTGCCAGCTCATGGTCAACTTGTCTCCCACTAGGACCCCCAGGTCTTTCTCCACAGAACTGCTCTGTAGCAGGTCATCCCCAACCTGTGCTGGTCTTGGGGTCATCCCTCCCCAGGTGCAGGACCTGCACTTGCCCTCGTTGGGTCTCTTTAGGTTTCTCTCCACCCAACTCTTCAGCCTGTTCAGGTCCCTCTGAATGACAGCACAGCCTTTAGGTGCATCAGCCCCTGCCCCAGTTCTGTGTCTCTGGCAAATCACAAGATCATTGAGTTTGGAAAAGCCCTCCCAGCCCATGGAGTCTAGCCTGTGGCTGATCCCCACCTTGTCACCCAGCCCAGAGCACTGAGTGCCACGTCCAGTAGTTCCTTGGACACCTCCAGGGATGGGGACTCTGCCACCTCCCTGGGCAGCCCCTTCCAATGCCTGACCACCCTTTCCAGCAAGAAATTCCTCCTTATGTCCAACCTGACCCTCCCCTGGCACAGCTTGAGGCTGTTTCCCCTTGTCCTGTCCTTTGTTGCCTGGAAGCAGAGCCCAACCCCTCCCTGGCTCCACCGTCCTCTCAGGGAGTTGCAGATAGTGGGAAGGTCCCCGCTGAGCCTCCTTTTCTCCAGGCTGAGCCCCCCCAGCTCCCTCAGCTGCTCCTGGTGCTCCAGGCCCTTTCCCAGCTCCGTTCTCTTCCCTGGACATGCTCCAGCCCCTCTCAATGTCCTTCTTGAACTGAGGGGCCCAGACCTGGACACAGGACTTGAGGGGCCTCAGCACAGGGATGGGCACTGCCCTGGGCCTGCTGGACACACTGTTGGTGATACAAACCAGATGCCACTGGCCTTCCTGTCCACCTGGGTGCATCTGGGTTCATGTTCAGTTGGTGTCCCCCCCAGGGCCTTTTCCAGCTTTCCAGCCCTTCTTTCCTCAGTCTGGAGTGTTCCATGGGATTGTTGTGACACAAGGGCAGGACCTGGCACTTGGTCTTGTTGACTCTAGCAGTGTTGCTCTTGGCCCATTCATTCAGCCTGTCCAGATCCCTCAGCAAGCCTTCCTGCCCTCCAGCAGATAAACTCACTGAGGGTCCATTCTATCCCTTCATCTGGGTCATTGATAAACAAATTGGATCAGGCTGGACCCAGCACTGATCCCTGGCTGCCACTGACTACAGGCCTCCAACTGGATTCTGCTCTGCTGATCACAACCCTCTGAGCTCTGCCAGTTCTTCATCCCCCTCACTGTCTATTCATCCAACCCACATTTCCTGAGCTTTCCTACAAGGAGTTTATGGGAGACTGTGTCAAAAACCTTGCTGAAGTCGAGGCAGTCCTCTCTTTGCTCTCCCCTCATTGACCCATCCTGCCATGCTATCATAGATTAGTCAAAGAGGATTTCCGCTTGGTGGGTCCATGCTGAGTACTCCTGATGACCTGCTTCTACATGCTTGGTGATGACCTCCAGAATGCACTGTTCCACCACCTTTCCAGGGATAGAGGTGAGGCTGACCGGATAGGACTTTCCCAGGTCCTCCTCCTTGCCTGTTTTGAAGATGTGGGTAACATTCTTGTCACTGAGTTCTAAAGTTCCTGTGTGTGTGAACTCTCTAAGAACAGAAGAGGAGCTTTAAAAAACATCTCTGAAAAAAACTTAAATAAATGGATTTTTTTAAATGCTGTTTTATGTTGTGATATCATCGAATGAGTTTTCCTGGTTTTGCACCTGGAAGGGAGACTGTAGTAGGGCACTGTGCAAAACGCTATCCAATATGAATGGCTTTTTCACAAAAGTGTCAGAATTCCATTCTTAGTTTGTATATTTAGATGTTTGTTATGCCAACAGTTTGTCATTTTTTATGAAGAAAAACCTGTGGAGTCAAATGTTTTCTGTTTCATAATGTGTTTACACGAATGCAATGTTCTGCATTCTTTGGAACAGTAAGTGTTATTTTGGAGCCTTGCTTTATGTTGATTTATAGATCTCATAAAACACTGCACATGCATTGCAGATTTCTATTATAATAAATTGAAAAAGAGATTGTGCTTTTTCTACAACACATTATTAGTAGACAGTGAGTTAACAAGAAAATAAAAATGTAACAAGAAAAATTAATTTTTTTTAGGTCCTCAAAAACTATCTGTAATACTAAGCTTGGATAAGCCTGTTATTTGCTCTCTGGCAGCAGTAATTGCATACCTCAAAGAATTTAATTTGGAAAGGATGCTTTATGATCCAAGGTAAGTTGCCTTACATAAACTTCCAGTTCAAATCACCACTTTCTGTAAGTGTTAGCAGGCAGCTTCCCTGACTGTAATGAACACAACTACTAGAGTGATAAACATAGTCTTTGTAAAAATTATACCTTACTTTTGGTCTCCTAATCAGAACTTGAAAGAATCAAGTGATTTCTTTAAGTGGTGTTTCATGAAAATCTTCATGAAATGTTTGGGTATAGACATTACTGTCAGTAATGTGAATTAACATGTAGTGCTGCCAAGTGTTACTGAAAACAAACAAGGTGCAAAAACTGGTATGTACTAGGGAGGAAATTTTAAAGTTTGTTTATATCAGCTATCACATCTTGCCTCAGTAAACCAAATATAGGGCTTTTTTTGGCAGCTTTAAAAAAATTAGTACTGTAACTTAGCTTTGCGGTTATTGTTTTATTTTGCCAGTAGTGTGTAAGTAATTTTTTCTTTCTGTAGTTCTGGAAGCAGGTACAAATGCTAGTGTGTTGTTATGTTTAGGCAGTACTCATCAGGTCTGTTTGAGTTGGCAAATCTAGTTATCAGTTATAAAGAAAACATGAATTCAGCATATCCTCGGTTTCTGGAAAATCCCTGGACCATTACCATTTGTGCAAAATTACTACAAAACCACACAGACATGGGTATAACCTTGTTTTCCCTTAAGCAATCCTAACCCTTTGGTTTATTAGATATGCTCAAATGAGCACTCAAAATTTGTGACAGGATTATGCAGGTGGAAGCAAATGAAAACAGAAAGATATCACTGCTCAAGCTTCTCTTATCCTGTGTTGCATTGAGTATAAAACACTGCCCTCGTACCTTGCACAAGCATAAAACACTACTATCCTACCTGGCTCAAGTTTGAAAATACCATTGGGGCTTATTAAATAAAACAACTTTAGCTGTAGTGGATTCTGTGCAAAGTATTCTCCTGGTTTTCCCAGTATTCCTCTGTTCCGTAAGTAGGCAGGATTTAGTGAAGTCAGTCTGGCTGCAGACTGGAAACTTAGAAATATGTCGTTTGTAAATCATTCACATGTCGTATGAGTTTCAAGCCTGATTTTGAAAGGCTCCCTACATTGCTAGTTTTGTTAAAATGCAGCTGCATTTAAAAATGCGGATGCCAGCTTTAAACACTTTTTCACATGTCCACTAAAATGTTTGGAAATTATATATATATGGGTGTTCTGGATTTTGGGGTGGATTTTCTTCCTTAAATTGCCCTTCTCCACTCCAAGTACTATTTAAATGTTAGCAAGAAGTTTGATGGGCTTATAGAGCTAGTGAGGAAAGAATTCCTGGGGCATCTTCCTTGCATCATCCATCAAGGAGCTGATCTGTGGTGCTCTTGCTCATCCTCTTTGGTTGACTTTTTTTTATCCTATGTGGGTTTTTGGTTGGTTTCTTGTGGGTTTTTTTGTTTGTTTATTTGGGCTTTTGTTTGTTTGGGTGGGGGCTTTGCATTTTTATTTATTTTTTAATATGCTTGCATGGGTGGAGAAATCTTTTCGTAGAGTTTCCAAAGAAGAAAGTGGACTCCAAGGAAATGCCATTTCATGGTCACTGCTGTCACAGTGCCCTTTGTGCAATCACACATGAGGTGAATGTTCTTTCAGCTGGAGGAAATGCAAAATCCACCTTTTATGTAGAAGTAATTCAGTAGTAGAGGAGAAAGCATCAGCAACGTTCAAGATAGTGTGTCTCCAGACCTCCCGATTGGAGGCCAGAGTAGACCAGCACGCAGGATCACTCTTGAGGAGAAAAGAAAACGCAGAAAGAATCGTGTCTTGCAGAATATACCACCTAAGGAGTCTTTCTGCTGTGCCTTTTGCAACCGGACGTGCCTATCTTGTATTGGCCTTTTTAGCCACCAACACGCTTGTAACAAGCGTGGGTAGAGCCCTTCCCAAATCTTTGTTCATGAAGCGCAGCCGTGATGATGATGATGATGAGAGGAGAAACCTCATTGTCTGAAGGCTTGTGTAGGAGCACTCAGTCACGTTTGTAACAGCTGCATCCTAAAATCAGGAACAATTATCAGCTGGGAAGGAAAAGCACTAATTCTTGGCATTGACATTTGCCTGCTGAAGGTTGTTCTAATGGATTTTTTGTGAATGTATCAGCATCTGAGTGAAAAGGCCAAGAACTACTTAATATCCTATTGATGCTCTATAAAGAAATAAAATAAATTCTTTGAGAAACCTTTGTGGTTGGGAGCTTGGATTCCGCTGTGTTTATTCCTAAAACCTTTACGCTTTGACTACCTGATACTGAGTTGTACTTGCTATTTTTAGTGTATCACAGGTATCGACATAGTGAGACAAATACTGAGGCAAATTCCAATACTTTTCCTAATGCCAGTGAAATACTATCTAAAAACTGAAAACTGAAAGACTTTTAAGCAAATCATGTCAGGCTCATGAATCTCCTGAATTAGGAAATAGAGAAGAAATACTTCCATTGCACTGTCAAGCAACTTAAAATTCCTAGAAGAATTCAGGTCAGTGAGCATGAAGTTGGAGTTGTGAAATAGTTTTCGGTTTTTTAAAGTAAGTGACACAGATCTGGATGAAGACCTATTTGATAGGAAGAATGGCAGAAAAATTTATTACACCTCTGTACCTTCTTTGGATAAACACTCTTCTCACAGCTGGAAAGAATTCTGTCTCCACTTATTAGTAGGAGTTAAGAAACATGTAAGTGATAACCAAACCTCATTGGTGGGGGGGAAACAAGTTTTGTTCTAGTATTTAGGTTAAGCTTTTAAATCTACTTTTAAGATTGTAAATAAAGCAAAATATTAAAAAGAAATAAAGATATCTGTCACAGCAGGACCTCTAGGTGTGACTAGACTGCATTAGAGTTCTAATAGCGAGTAAAAATAGATTTAATAATGAATGATACAAGGTGTTTTTAATCAATGTGCTTTAATACCTTTACGTACTGAGAGACTTTGATTAAAGGCTTTTGTCAAGAAGTTGGTGCACATCTAGGAGAGGTTTTCAAATACATTTGAGTACCCAGATTTGTTTGAAAAATCATCATTTGCATAGCAGTTGCTGGGAAGATGTGTCTTAGTGTATTTTGATTTTACCTATATGTTTTCCAGCATATTGGAGATGGAAGAGAGGGCCTGTAGTTTGTAGACTTTGAACAGTGATGGATGATCTTCAAGAAATGCAGGGAATGGTACACAACACAAAAAGGGATTCAGATCAGAAGTTCTAGCCTTGTGGCACTATTCATTAATGTTTTCAAACCTGGTTAATTAAATACAAAACATAGTCTGGACTTGATGTCCTTTGCTACTTAGACTGTGGTAATGTCTTTCATACCTAACAAAAACTATGCTTCTGCAAAATGGAGAGACTTGTTTTTACTTCTTAAAGCTTTTAGGGATTCCTACAACTTTTGTCTTTATAGGTTTATTTGTGGTTTATTCACCCTCAGAGATCTTGAAGACATGGCCTCTAGAGGTCTGTAAAAGGTAATTGAGCAAAGAAGATCTGCTGCTTTCAGTACAGTGCCTTGCATCTTCACTCAGAAATTTTACTGATTTCCAGAATTAAAGTAGTTGAAAACTACTGATCTGAATACCATGCATTCACTTAGGCTGGGTTACTGAGTATGAAGTTACATATAATATTTCCTGTGCAGAGAATAATGAATAAAGCATTAAAAAGGCTGTTCACTGCAAGCTTCTCTGCAGGCAAAATCACAGAATGGTTTGGGTTGGAAGGGACCTTAAAGCCCATCCAGTTCCACCCCCTGCCATGAACAGGGATACCTTCCACTATCCCAGGTTGCTCCAAGCCCCATATAACCTAGCCTTAGATATTTCCAGGGATGGAACAACCACAGCATCTCTGGGCAACTGTGCCAGGGCCTCACCACCCTCACAGGGAAGAATTTCTTCCTAAAACTGAATGTCTCCTATTTTAGTTTAAAGCTGTTTCCCCTGTCACTAACTGCCCCTGTAAAAGTCAGTCAGTCTCTTTTTTTATAAGTCCCTCATAATTACTGCCAGAATGACCAAGATGATCCAGTTTCAGCAGTAACACATTAGAACGGAAGCCTGAGGATGTAGTTTACTGTCCTAAAGCAGTCACAGCAACCCTTTCATACTCATTGTCTTGTGTGGTTCTGCTCTGAAAAGTCATTTTATGGTATAATACTCCTTGTCATGAGTATTCCCCATATTCCTAAACTTTCCTAGAAGTTTTGTTTGTTTCCTCTTTTCCTTTTTCTAAGCCCAGAAATGACATGATCCTACCTTGTTGTGCTCCTCAGTTGCTATCTGTTTCCATCACTTGTGTTTTGTCCTCTTTTAGTGCTTGAGACCATTGCAAGTCTGTTCTTTGAAACTCAGGTCACGCTGTCACCTACAGGAGTTATGTCTTTGTGATCCCGTCAAAATGGTCTTTGAAGGGTCATTTTTAGTGGTTCAACAGATGGCTGATAGCAGTGCCTTAGCATTTCACACAAGGATTGTGTTGAGATCTTTGCTGCAAAACCAGCACTGACTTAATAGTTGTTTACAACCTTATTCTTATGCCATTTGATCTCTAAATTCCCTACGAAGAGTCTAGTTTTTTCACATTTTTACAAGTTCTGATTCCAAGCTGAAGGAAGATGAGAGGGTGGAAACAAAATGTTCTGAGCTGTGACATCTGGAATTATTGGTTGGGTATACACTGCGCTTGATCTTGACTATTTTTCATATACTCCAAGCTCTCAATTGCCAGGATTAATAGCAGAGTGAAGTAACTCAGATAAAGAAAACACCTAGATAATGTAAGACACACATAATTTATGCTGTGAAAGCAACTTTTGCTTGTCTGATTCTGAATGAATAGTAAATACACTGTGCAGTGGAACAGAGTGAGTTGTCTTCCTATACTCTTGGGCAACCTTGCTGTGAGCAGTGTGGTCTGTGTTAAGTGCTCTAAAGCCAGGAGAAGTGGGGGAGCACAAGAACCAGTAAATCCACCCAAAAGAATCCTTTTCAATTTTGAGAAGAGGTGGAAAAGCTTAATTCTCACCCAGCTGGGTTTAAGAGGTCACAGACTCGAGTTGTGGTAAATAGGAAAACTGTTGTTTAGGTGAGTCCTGGAAGCAGAAGAGGTACTTTCAGAAGAGCAGATGGGATTTGTTGTTGACTGTAGGCATGGGGAACCAAGCAGAAATCATTCCTAATTAATTTTTACCAGCATCAGCAGTTGTGACTAAAGATAATAAAAGGAAGTATTGTTTTGTTGCTTACAAGTTTGTGTACTTTGGAAAGTACTGTGGGTTTTGCCTCCAGTTTTGTTTTGCTGGTCAGTTTTACTGGTTGCTGGAATAGCACACAAAGCAGAATAATTATGACTATGGATACAGTTCTGAATCAGCTGTACTTCCAAACGATCATTCTTCAGGACCCTCAGTTTAATCTGCTTTTTTTTTTTAATTCTGTGAAAAATACTTCAAATTTGACCCATTATTTAGGAAGAAATTTGCCAGCAGGCCCAAACACCTGCATACAACATAAATATATAACATTAGTCTCTGAGTATTTCATGTTTCTGGAAGTTTTGGTACTGTTTTTGTTTTTAATGTAGCAGCTGTGTGTACCTAACAGAAAAGTTAGAGCATTCGCGTGCTTCTCCAGAGGGTTTAAAATCGAATACACTGAAAACAATTCTATGAAAGGTCAAGAAAAGAATTTTAAATCCTGCCCAGCAAGTTGTTCTGCTTAGTCTAAGACAATAAAGAGTGTCCTAGATTCTGTGCAAAGGGCAGTCAGCAGTATGATTAACCCAGACAATCATGACTTCGTTTGTCAGAAACGTTTAGTGAGGATCTTGCACTTCATGGTTCAAACTACAATGTGTGTGTGTTTGAGACTGAAATAATTTTCATATCTAATAAGATTACACATCTAACACAATTATTTTTTTAGTGTTGATTCTAAAGCAACACAGCCTTTGAGTTGTTCTCATCTAGTTCTGTTAAGGAGTATCAAAAAGTCCAGTAATTTTGGTCGTGGTTATTTTACATCAAAACCAAAATCATACAGTGTAAATATACTGTATATTTATTTTCCTAAATAATTGTACTGGTAGCATATTTAAATTTGCAGTAGTAATAAAAAAAGAATATGTGTTTTGATATACTTTTTTGATGGTGAATTTTGTTAAAAGTCTGTTCCACTCTTGAAGTATTGATTATTTGTCCTGTCTCTGCTTAGTTGTAGACTGAATAAATTAGCTATTTAGTGTCAAAGGATTAGATAACAGGAGAGCTGGATTTTATTCTGAACTTTGTCAGAGTCATTGCAGGAGACTGGGAAGTGAGTCTTAAACAAAAAAAGTGATTTTTTTTTTTCCAAACAGTAAGTTAAAATAAGTTATTAGTATTCAGTTCTTTTATTTAAATAGATTTTGATTTCTTACTTGACTTTTTTTTAATTTATTTTGCATAACTAATGAATTATCTAACATGAGGAACTTGGCAGTGTTTTACTGTTCTGTCTGTGCCTGAATTAAAGATATAACATATGAAATTCCTCTCCCCAGAAATTTTAAACAGTTGTCCAGTGAAACTGAATACATGACAATTAATGGGACAACAATGAAAAATCTTGAAATTTTGCAGAATCAGGTAAGGACAAACGTAATTTTTTTAAAAAAATTTTGCCTTCCCAATGAAATTGGTTAAATTACTTGCAAATTTCACCCAAAAAGCTTAAATTATTTTAAATGGGATCAGACTGAAGATGGATCACATTTTCAGAGGCATAAATCAAAGTTCATCTGTACTGGCTTTTAGTATGAGTTAGGAACCTTATTGTACTTGGACTAACAAAGAACTTTACTTGAGCAACTTAAGTTCTTGAGCAAGAACTGCAGTCGAGGGATATGTCTGTAGTAGGGTCTGTTCTTTTGCTCCTGCTGAGAGCTTTATGCGCAGAACTTAACTCCACTTGCTTAATTTATTCCAGTCAATTACTAAAAAGATTTTCTGGCAAAAGGAAAAGCATACTTAAATATCTTACCACTCTTGGAGGTACTTTATGTAATGTATTGTTGGTGGGTGAGATTGGTAAATGAACATGCAGTTAGCATATCTTAAAGCCTAAACAAAATGTTCTATATAACATGGTGGAGATCCTTCCACTACAACACTGACTGCTCAGCTAAAAATAATGATGATGTTTTTATTATTTTAGATGGACATGAAAACAAAAGGAAGTCTACTCTGGGTCTTGAATCATACTAAAACTTCCTTTGGACGTCGAAGACTGAAGAAATGGGTGACTCAGCCTCTCATGAAATCCAGGTGAGATAGTTCTTTATCCTGGGCTAAATCTGTGTTTGTAGTGGTGTTGAATGTATTTGTTTGTCCTAAAGGTCTGAGATCCACAGGGGAGTTTGCACAGGAAATTATACGACCGAAGATGTGGATGTTATAAATTGGTTTGAAAGGCTTAAACTGCTCTGTTTGGGCACAGATAAATAGTAGTGGGTTTGGACCAGGTTAGAAATACCTTTGCAGAAATCAGATTTGGTACAATTCTAATTCAGTATCCTTTTTGACAGTGAATGAGGATGACCCAGTATTGGAGGTTGTTTTATTCCTAAACTTGCCAATAAATGATGGATGTCTTCCTTGCTTCACAAATATTTACATCCTTACTATGTTTAATTTCTTCTACAGTAGCTGTGGATGTTTTTGTTATCTCTGTATACAATGGGAAAGTGTTCCTTTTTACTAATTATGAAATGTGATGATTGTTTGGTCACTCCTGTATTTTGACCTGTCCTTTTTTTATCAGTGCTTTAGAAATGTTTTGTTTTGTGACACTGTCATGCAACTTTTCACTTGCCTTGGTTTTGAAAGGGACGCCATCATATCTGGTTTATCTTTGCAGACTTTATTGGAGTATTGTACCTGAATGTGTAGTAATTGACAGTATTGACTCCATGGAATGTTTTTTCCCTACATTTTAATTTTTTGGATCTGTTCTTTTAAATGTGCCTTTCCTCAGCATTGTCCATGTAGAATTTACTTAATTGTAAATAATTTCTTTGTTCCCTTCAGCTGTAGCATATAGAAAGTCCTTTTGCGCTGATTATCTAAAATATTTTTCCCCTCTGTTTTACTTTTGTAAATATATTAAACAGTTTTTATGTTTATTATTTTTCACCAGTTTAAAATGGTGAGGTAATTCAGTGTTTTAGCATCTTGCTGTTGTTGGTAATTTACAAATGTCTTCAGAAGGATTTTTTTTCCTTGACCAAATTTTGTATGTGAAAGCACTGTACTTCTGAAGCATCACTGCTTAATTTTCTTATTAGCCTTTTGTAATAAGTTAATTTCAGTGTGCCTTTCTTTTTTTTAATTGTTCTTTCATATGTCTTACCCACTTCCAAAAGGCCTTTGATGTAACTATCCTAAAAAGTATTGGGCTTAATGGAAGTTAATTAGGGCCTTGTGTTCACCTTAAAAGCATGTAGGCAGAATTTCTGAGCCACTTTGTGGGAATAAATGGAAATAAATTAGTTTATTTCTCTTCCTGCCCTTATGACCTTTTGGGATTTGTGGAGTTGTCAGCGGAGGGAGCCAGAGCTCTGAGGATGGAGAGCTGGGGAGGACCTGCCTCCAGCCATTTTGCCCCTGAATCATGCCCTGTGTGATCCAGGAGGTGAAATACCATTCACAGTAAAACAGAGTCCTTTTCCGGGCAGGTAGAAAACTGCTTGTCTGTGGACTCCAGGCATTCTTTTTTAACCAGTATATTTAGTTTAAATTCTCCCTTGCCTCAGTGCAGAGCCAGTTCAAAAGTTTGTAGTTTTGTTTTCTTGTCTTATTCCTTTTCTCTTTCCTGCTTCTAGAGAGTGATGCTTGACATTTTTCAGGCTTCTGTGGCTGGAGATGACAGTGCTCCTCAGCTGAAGTTAGAAAAGCTACTTTGCTCTGTGTATTTCTCCCTTTCTGACTCTAAGTTGTAATTTCAGGTACTTAGTGCATCAGACATCCGGTAATATTGTTCCCAGTAATGCACACAAATGCACTTAGAGAACATTTTGTAATTGTAATTCACCTGAGCCTCCTGGAGAGACATTTTCAGAGGAAGTCAGGTTTCTGCACTGCATCTTTCCCAGTATGTGGGTAGGTGTATCAAAAGGTGAGAGAGTGTAATTACTGCTTTATGCCTTAGAGTTGGAAATCACTTGGAATGATGACTAAACTTCCTGTGGAGAAGCCATACCTTAGGTTGAGTAAAGGTAAAATGTGTACAGACAGCTCATTTCGGCAAACTTGAAGATGCCCTTCAGATGATTGGTGATGTAGTACATGTAGAAACAAGATTTGTACATTTGTTAAAAAAAAAAATCAAAAAAAGGCTTTACCGGGAAAGGTGTAATGTCCTCACTTACTCACCTAGCTATACAAAGATGATGAGGCAAGAGTGGATCAGTCATTGATGACTGAGCTTTTTAGGAGAAATCAGGAAAGTATTTTTTTGCAGAAGTTATGTATCTGTGGATTACAGAAACCTTCTCTTACCTTTGAAATTCAAGTTCCATCCAGTGCCTTCCTTGCCTGACTTTGTAAAGGGAGTGGAAAGAAAAGGAAATGGAAGGCTTGGAACATTTCTTAGTGAATGAAATGTGCAGCTTCCCAGTCAGGCAGTGGAGTTTCAGCAGGGTAAGGAGTAGAGCTGTGTATTATCACACTCAGCAGCCAAAGGGTTCAGGACTGGCCTCAAGATACATATTGTAGCACAGTGTGATCTTTGTGTCTTTGTCTATGTACAACATTTACAAATAGTTTATTTCCTAATGCAAAATAAATCTCAGAACCCTTGAAGTGGATATGAAAGTCTCTGTTTTTAAAATGGCTACAGGAGAAGGAGAAAGAAAAGCTTCACATAGGCCTTGTTGAGCAAACCTGGCTCTGATTTCCACCTCTTGTTTTGTTGTGTATCATGGGAATGTTGTCCTGTGGTGGTGGTACAGAGGAGAGGGCGAGAAAGTTGTTGCCCTGCACATGAACAATCTGAGACCTCATCTCTGCAAAATGTGTCTTTCCTTGTCTCTGTTACATCCATGGCTGCCACCTCCCCCCTTCATCTTTGCAGTTCCCTTTCCTAGGTGTTATGACTGTCTCCAAAACACAGCAGTGCTGCTTGCCCATGTTCAGTCCAAACAGAACACACAAATAAATACTGCATCCTGGGTATTAATCTGTGTCTGTGCCTTGCTCAGTTGCTGTTTTTTGCACAACTTGTAGGAAATCTGCTTTCTTGAGATCAAACACCTTCCTTTGCCTTGTCAGGGTTGGCTGGAGTTGAACAGAGAGTTCAAAATTGATGTTTAAATCTCAAGGAAGATAAAAAATGGTATGCATTTAGAGAGTTGCTGAAAACATTTCAGCCTTTGCTTTATGGTTTACAAACCCCAAAATTGTAATTACCCCTCAAAAACTAGATTTCCATTTTTTCTGCCCTGTGGTTCTAATATACTTTGTCCCCCATTTCCTCCAGTTCTGGATGAGATGATGCTTTTATTGAGGTGGAATTGAAGCCTTGTAGGATGGTATTGATAATTACCATTAGTCTGAATACGCTCTGTCTGCAAGAGCACAGAATGATAGTAAATTTAGGAAATTCAGAACTGCACAGTTCAGGACTGCTGACAGTTCTTTATGTACTACTAAAGAAGAGGAAGAGTATAAATTGGTATTACTAATGCAACATGATTTTATTTGGAAGATATGTACTCTAGAACGGGGTAGAAATGTGTCTCTTTATAGTGATGTTGGCAATGACATCTTTTTAATATAAAATATTATCTTGTTCTAAATCCTCTCACTTTGAATGCAATGAGTGCTATTTTATTTATACTTCAATGCATGAAGTACAATCCTAAAGGAAAGTCTTTCAAACTTGACTTTGGTCTTGTTCCCGTAATTAAAATGTTGGGCAGTAAAACAAACTTCCAAAAGGTCCTTGCAGAAACCAGTTTAATTCAGAGTTAAACTGGTTGCCATTTGATACCATCATCATCCACAGCAGGATTAGAATATACTTCTTTTTTTGCAGTAGTGATTTATGAATAAAATCCACCAATCCTACAGCACAGCTAAATTTTCCTCCTAAAAATAATGATTTTATAGCATCAGTGCCAGTATAAAATGCACAAATGCAGGTTACAGCATATGCCTGAGATCTCAAAATTGTTGTAGGAAAGAAAAAGATTGCAGCATCATCACATGTGATCATTCATTTTTGCTAGCTGTATTTTGGTTTCATTGAATGCTGTGTCTAATTCCTTATCAATGGAGCAATCAGGCCTTCATTCACGGTGGCTAAAGTGGCCAACCGTTCCCTTTTTAGGCACAAATAGCTGAAAAACATTGTGTGTGAACATAAACAAAAGTGTTTGATTGCCATTTGCATATCTTTTAACAGATGTGAAGATAAAGTTTAGAGTACTTGTATGTTGCTGTTAAGTATTTGAGATCCATTCAAGAATATTGTCCTGCATATTTATTTAGGGAAACGCTGGACCTCTCTGGAGAGGCTTGAGACATTAGTTTGGAGAGCAAAAAGTGAAAAACAAGTGAGCAGATCCAGAAGGATGTTAATTTTTTTAGGTTTCACTTAAATTTCACTCTAGTAAATGTGATATAGTTACCCTTGTTTGTACTTTTTTCATTGGTGCCCTTGTGTGAAATTCTGGTGGTCATTCCAGCAAATTTTAAGAAATTTAACAAATCTGGATTCATCCCATGAAGTTAGCCTGTTTCTAACTTAGATACTTGGGTAAAAAAGCCTCGAGGGAAAGGGAGCACCCAAGATCTGTAGATGCAACAACAGAAGTCAGAGGGTCTGCAAAAGTTAATAAAGTTTTATTAGTAAATGACACACTTGACAGGGAAATCGTGGGACTAACGTCCCTCATCTCCTGTTGTAAGCACATGGCAGTGGGGTTTGAACACAGGGGTAAGGTGGAAGGGAAGAGTGATAGGGAGGTGGATTGAAGAGGGGGAGAAAGAGAGGGAGAAAAGAGGGGTCACCAGTCCGGGCTTCAGCACTGGTGCAACCGGTAGGGTGTGCAGGGTCCTGGGGTTGTGCCCAGGCTTTGAGGGGGCACCTTTTTACAGGTAAGTTTTGCTGTCCTGGAGATCAGTTCCTTGCTTTCTATGCAAATTAGTTCTCTTATGCAGTCTGTTCCAGACCTTTCCGGAGATAGGTCAGAGGCTTTGGGGGCATTTGGTGATCTTGATCCCTCCGTACAGTCCGTGCCCACTTCCTGGCATCACTCCTGCACCTGTGCTGTGTTGTCCTTCTCTCCGACAGACAAACCAAGGACATTTGTCCCAGAAGAGTGCTGCGCTTCCTCCACATGGCCCCTTCTCCAGCCACAACAGTCACTGGCTGGCATTGCCAGCGTCCCTGGCTGGCTCTGCAGATGTCAGTTTGACACACACACTTTATCCTTCTGACCTTCTAGCTTCTGCAGTGAGCCAGTTTTTCATCTGCTTGTTCTTTAAAAAATCATACACAGTGTATAGATTGCACTGTGGTAATTCTACCACGGCCTTGGGTTTTGATGGCATTAGTTGCTTGTCGCGAAAGGGAGTGGTCTGAAGTATAAAACACTCTGTACAGTTTAACGTGGTCTTTAACTTAATCAACTCATCCAAAGTCTTCATTCACGAACCATATTCTGAAGGAAAGTCAGAAAAAAAGCATATTGTGTGAGTGAGTAACTTAAATAATATATTTTCATTCTTTACAATGCTGTAGTTAGGAGGCTCCTAGGCTTTGATTTAGATAATATAGTTTATGTAAAGTAGTGTTTATTGTTTTATAGCCTTCATTATGTTTTCTAAGGGTTGAATTCCTGTGATTGACAGTTCTACATATCACTGTGGTCTCTAAACAGATTTAATAGAATTAATTTCAGTTGTACACACTGTACTTGAGCTATGTCCTTAGCATGATGAATGGACTCATACTGTGTGCATTTATTGTAAGTTAATAGACTTCTGATAAATTCGTATTTATTTACCTTGTATAAAAATAAAAGGTTATACGAATGAAAATGTTCTGTCATTCTTATATAGCAGCTACATTATCAGTTTCATTCTGCCTCAAATGTAATGATATATTATCATATCTAAAAATGTCAGGTTTGCTTTGCTGTAGGAGAGATCAGCAGATCTGTTACCACTCCAGCAACCAGCAAGCCTATTTAGGTTGCTCAGATGTTAATTCAGAGCAATGCTTTTGGATCTGCAGCCTTCTGCTTTGTCAAAATAATTTTTAGTTTGGGATTCAAATATCTATGTATTTTCTAATTTTCTATATTGTTCACATATTTAGCAGTAGAATAACACAGGGGAATATCTTGTTATTTCATTTCAAGTAGTTCTTTTTAATGACTAGAATAAAAATTCTGCAGGTAGATTTTGTTCTGTTTAAATACACTGAAAAGTGATTTTAGTATTGTAATAATGATGCTATTCTTAGATGGGGAGTACAGCAGAAGTAAGTGTATTGCTTTTAGTCAACTGAATTATGTTACATTATTTCACTGAAGATTGTTTGGAAAATTGGATAAAGCTCAGATTGCCGACATGCTTTATACAGATGAGAAAGAACAGACTAATACTGCACCTAAGTAGAGCATGAAGTAGTAGCCAGTTTGGCTGGCTGAAATTCAGGTTTTCTGGGGGTGAAATTCTTTTCCAGACCATGCAGAGATTAGAAATCCCAGACTGTAATTCATATATGCTGAATAACTCTGCAACGCAGAACAAATTTGTTTTGAGATGGTTTAGCAGCTGATCAGTGCAATATGTATATACTGACACTCAACAAAATGTTCATTAACTTAAGTATATGTATTTAAAGTTTAAAAGCATACTTTGAAATTCATCATCTGTTTTTATCATCTCATCCCAGTCCCCCTTTCCTCATGCACTTCATATTTCACACAGTTTTTTGCTGTACTTCCTGTTTGAAATAGGAATCCCACTATGTTTTTTTACAGGTGGGAAAAAAATGGGTCATTTGGTACTGAATGCCATTTTCCTGACCCTTTCTTGTTTGTAGGATAAAGCAGAAAAACTGTATGGATGCTTAGTTTTAGATTACTGGAGCTCCAGTAACACAGCCATATGTGAGGATGATTAAAGTGCAGATTAAGCTTTGTAGGGAGAAGTTTTTCAAATATCTGCATCTACTTTACATATTACTGCAAGTTTTTAGTTGACCACCTAGATATAATAGCGCTGTTTAAATTAAGTGACAGAGTTGTGCTGCTTACAATGCTTTTTATAATAAAAAATACCGGTTATTATCTTCTTTAAGGTACATATGCTTATAATTTAACAGTTCAGTACTCCTTCATGCACAGGAGTGTTCCATGATCTCAAGTACAGGAAACTTTAATAATTTTCCATGAAAATGTAATTGTGACTGGTGACGCTGACCTTTTAGGGTATCAGTGTAAGTGTTTGCTGGCTTTAGAGCTGTGCACTCAGGGTGTTTTATTACTCTGTCATTGATACTGACACTTCTCCATTCCCTCTCCATTATCCAGCTGTTGCTGAGAGCGTCTCACAGGCTTAAATCTCTGCCTGGCATGCCCTGTGTGGGTGCCAAGAGACTGATGTTTGGTTGTTTGGTTGCATAACTGTGGCTCTGTCAGCGCACACCAGATCCGTGATTGTGGCTCTGGGATCAGATTTAAGGCTTAGCTCTGTCCTTTGCTGTTGCTGCTGCTTCTAGGTCTCCTGGCTGCCCAGAGGAACAGGAGAAATGTTTGGCTTTGTGCGTTTGGCACTGCTGGAGGAGTGGAGCAGGTGTTCTTGTGACCTGCAGCAGGGCTGCCAGGCACAGCCTGTGAGGTCTGACCCTTCTGTTTTCTTCAGGGCTGGGGGAAAAAAGCAGTCTTTTAGGATAGTGGAGTATTTTTGGTGCTCTGGTGCTATCAAGGAGTCTGCTGTGCAGTTCAGAGATAACAGTGAATTCCCAAGGTGTCTTGGGTCCAGGCATCAGAGGCTGTCCTCAGTTCACACAGAGGCACTGGAAGCTCCATCTACCTGTGTTCCAGGTGGATGGTAAGACAGTGCAAATCCTGGTGTTGTACATCAGGGCTGCTCTCGGGATGAAGGTGTGTTATTTGTGGCAGAGGAGGGGATGATTTGGCTGCTTTGGTATAAAGCAGTGTGTCACTGGAAGAATCCTGGCACTCAGGCGCTGTTACATATATGTTTGTCTGAGTGCACACTCATTCCTGATGTTCTCCCTTTCACATACAGTGCAATAAAAGTTCAAGAACTCTTAGATTTAGCTGTCTTCAGGGCCAGAGGCCTCTGTCTGACAGGCTGTTGTAATGTCTGCAGCCTGTGGAGGTGCCTGATTTCACTGATTTCCTCATGGACAGCATTTGGTAGCAGTGGAAAGTGGCACAGCAGTGCTGCAATAAAAGCCATGGCCAAGACAGGCAATTTCCCCAAAATCTTGTATTTTGATTGCATCCTTGCTTCCCATTCCTCTGGGCTGGCTGAGCTCAGAGCATCTGACTGGTCCAGGAGAACAGGTGTGGGGGGGTTTTGCACACACTTGGCTGGTGTATGAAGTGTTGGTATTTTGGTATCAAAAGACTGATTTCTCTGTAAACTGCATGGTGGGGATGAACACACATGTTTTGGATACATCCATTTACCCCTACTCTCAGTCTTTTCCTAGAAAGCAGCAATAAGGCAATTTGGTTGTACAAAAAGAAGAGATGGAGTTTACCTTATCTCTGCACTCTACAGCCAGTCCATGCATATGTTGGAAATAGATGTAGATTTGGGGTGAAACTTGACAGTAGTTGTCCATTTTTACAGCTCTTTTCTTACAGTGACTTTAAGAATATGATTGAAAGGAAGGTGCAAAGAACCACAGAATTGTTTCTTCACATCAGAAAATGTTTTCTTATTAATTGACTTCAGTCCTGAAATACAGAGATTAATGTTACAGGCTTTAACAAAAAAAAGAAAAAGTAAAAAGCCCAGCGTGGTTTGATCTATATAATTACCAATCAGTGGTCTGGATTAAATGTAGAAGGGTAAAATGGGAAGTAGTATGTACAACCTGTTGGAATAAAGTATGCTGTGTAGAGTTCAAATGTAAACTCTGTCTGCCCATCCTCTGTCTGTAAATTTAAGGTTGGATATTCAGGATTCAGTGTTAGTCATATTATTTACCACCAGAAGTACATGTAGAATTGGGCACTGAAGTGTATATTTGGCTATTTTGAGCACAAAGAGAGGAGAATGGATCTTACTTGTGTTTTTGATAAAATCTCAAAATCTTCTGCATTCCTTAATTCCCCTAAAACAAACTGAAGGAAGAGGTTCACTAGATGTATGCCTTCTACTAGAGAAACACAAGTGTTAATTATTGTCTTATTCTTTTACAGTGAAATAAATGCCCGGCTTGATGCTGTGTCTGAAATTCTGCTGTCAGAATCCAGCGTGTTTGGTCAGATTCAAAATCTTCTTTGTAAGCTGCCAGATTTAGAGAGAGGCCTCTGCAGTGTTTTTCACAAAAAGGTATAACCATAATTACAATGGGTTATTATTTTCTAAACAGCATCATTCCGTCCTAGAGTATTTCCTTTGGGTTTGCATGTTTGTTTAAAAATGTTTTCTTCTTAGCAAAACTGAGGCTGACATAATAAAGGCATGCAAGTTTATAAAAATTAGATTTGGTAGAATCTTACTTTTTAACAGTGATGTACTGATAGAAGAAAGTATGAGTAGGGTTTTAGAATACATACACTGGATTGGTAATGCTAAGATTTAGTGGCTGGATTCAGTGAGATGAGATGGTGCAATAGATCCTTTTGCCATAAATTATTATTTCCCTTTAAAACAAAGCATTGTGTCCGTATGCTTATCTAAAATCACACTTGCAAGTGAAACCACTTGGCTTTAGCTAGCTGTTTTCAAATGAATGTTAATCTGTTTATAAATTCTGTAGTTTGGATCTCACTTCCTCATTTCAATAAGAATCACTTGTAAGGAGACACTGACAATTCTGCAGCAGATTAATGTGCTAATAGCACCTGTGCTGTACTTTATGTTCATTTATGTCACTGTTCTATTTAGAGGTTTTGTCAGTTTGTTTTAGATAAAGGAATAGGTAGGTAGAACAAGAGCCAGGCTGTAATTTTTTTGGATAGTACAGCACAAAGTTTTCCTCTGTCTGAAAATCTGAAACCCAGTTTTTTAAAGCCCTGTTGTGTTGGAGTGTTTGGCACGTGGAAAGACTTGTGTATTTCAATGAATGGATACAGAGGTCCAGCCATAAGGAAGGTTGTGAAAAGAGGGAGCGTACACCAATTTGCCCATCCTCTAAAATTAACCATATTCACATGATAAAATTGTTCGGGTTTTTTTTCCAAACAACTGCCCAGGAATTAGATAATTCACTTTTTAATGGTTAAACTCATTTCAGGTTTCATATATAATACTGTTTCTAGATATATATCTGTATTTCACAACATCCTGGCAGTGCTCTACTGCTACCATGTGGAGTTTTTTTGGTTTGGTGTGTTTCTTTTTGGGTTTTTATACATTCTATTTTTTTTTTTTTTATGTACTTGTGTCTTCAGATGTCCCTTCCTGCTGTAGAACTGCTTACCTTTCTCTGATGTTTAGGTGTAGCCATTCAGAGCCTCTGGACTTTTGTGTGATTTTTGAAATGAGATGACAATGTAGTTTGTCGTAATAACAGCCACTGTAGCATGAAGATAGGTATTTAGTGAGTCAGATGTTGGAAAGAAGCTGCAGCAGAATCCTTAAAAAGGGTAAATGAGAGGGGAAAAGCTCCTAGCACACACTTTTCATTTGGTGAATTATCTTCCCTTGGTAAAAAGCTGCGTTGTCATCCATTGCAGAGCACTGTGGTGAGGATCTGGAGCACTGAGTAATCCCTTTAGATCCTTAGGACTTTGAGGAGATGGCAGTGTCTGTGAGAGACAGGGTCTGTTTGGAGTAAAGAATCAAAAGCCGAATCTGGGAAACTGGTTGTGGAGTCTAGACTGTGAATATGGAGCCTGAAGAAAGGTCCCTGCAAAGAAGCATCATTCAAGAACATGGAATAACTGGTCTTCATGGATTTTTTGTGGTTTTTTTCCCTCCCAGTGAATGCTGCCTTTTCGGTTCCCACAACAAGAGCCTTCCCAGTTTTGTTAATTGTAAATGTCCATCTCCCACATGCTCAAGTGCCCTGCAGTTTCTTCCCCATTAAGGGATCCAAACTCCCAGTGGAGCTCACTGATGGCTTAACTGAAGGAATGTGCTTGTTAATTCACTGTCAGATGCAAGAAAAATAGGTGAATGTGGCAAGTGTTTCATCCTCTGGGCCCTTTAGACTTCAGTGACATTAGTATTTGAAGGGCTGTGTTTTGCAAGGAGACTCCAGAGTGTACAGAGATGGCTGGGTTGTCTCAGTCATTCCAAGCAGTTTTTGGAATGTTTTTTACATTCAGATCAGTCACTGGAGAACTTTTATTGTGGGAATTAGGTAGTACCTTGGAGGTCACAGTTCCAGCTGTAAGCTTGCCCTAGCCTGCAGAAGACCATGGGAATGGTTGAGGAGACTAGCAGTATTGCTGTTGCTATGGAGAGAGGAGTTACTTTCCAAGGGCTGGTGGTTCTCGGTTAGTGCAGCTCCAGCATCTGCCACCTCAGCAGGCAGAGTGGCCTTGGTGCTCTCTGTGCAGACACAAGGGTGACTGGAGAGGAGACATTTGAAGACTTCTTGGTACCACTCAGAAGTTGACTTCAAAACCTAAACCTGAGAGACAGAGACTTTTCAAGAGCTTTGTCTAAATAGTTCTGGAGCTGATGCAGAATTAGGTCCTGTTGAGATGGTGTTTTCCATACCCGGTTGAGCTGTGCCCTCCAGAACCAGAGAGAGAATGATGAAAATTTACACCACGTGCATTTTTTTTCTGTGATCAGTGGGAAATATGAATGGCAGGATCTCTTGTTTTATCTCAGTTGAGTGATGAGTGTTCAGCCTTGCCTTGGAGGTGCATAATGGCAAAAGAGGGTCAGCGGACAATATTTGAGCAGGGTTTAAAACTAGTACAGAGTAAACAAGCCATTAGTACTTTTAGAAATGTGTCCTACGTGGCCAACTTGATGTTTCTTGCTGATTTCATGCAGTGTGTTTCAGAAAGTAAATATTTATACAGGCTCAATCTGTAAATGTTTATTGTATTTTCACCCTTTGCTCAATAAACATTACTTTTTGATAAAGCACAGTAACCAAAGTGGACAGAAATCATCATAACAACTGATCATTAAATTTACAGAACAGATAGAAGTGAAGCTGTTTCACTGACGGAGTGAGATCAGTGATCAAACCTTAACCACCACATGTGGTGAAACGTAATTTCGGTTTGTTCTGCTTCTAATTTCAGCCACAGGCTCTCCCTCATTCAGAGTTCCTTACAAGCTACTGCAGTTGGGAAAACTGTTCAGTTCTGAATGAGTCACTAAAGCTTTGCTGCCCCGTCAGGGCACCTGTGCAGAGTAAAGCAGGCAGATGCTACAAGAAGGGGATTTGCGGCTTGGCTGCCCACAGCCTCCTCAGGGCCAACACTTTACCCTCCAGTTTTTCAGTGAGTATTTCACTATTTCACTGGCACAGTCAGACTCCTCAGAGGTCAAAGGTGTTGCTCAGCTGGGTGCCAAGAGTTAAAATCTTCCACATAAGCTTGTCCAGCAGAATGATGCTGAAAACCTTCTCTGGAAGGTACGTTTGATATTTCATTGAAGAGGGTGTGATTTTCAGAGGATTCAGAGGAAAATGTTATGTTTCTGATTTTTCTTTTTTTAAATGAATACCTGTTACATATGTCCAAGATATTAGTTACTATTTGTATAGAATGCTTTAAATCAATTCTCCCCATAGCAATCATCTTTTGTAGACATTGGCTAACACATACCTGGTATTTTTTGCTTTTTTTTCTTCTGTAATAATAGCATGCACATCTTGCCTATACTGCACTTCTAAAGAATCTGCATCAGAGATATTTTTAGGTTTGCAATGCTAAATGTGATTTGAGCAAATTGTTCCACGTTAAGCTGATTAATATAAAGTCATAACAAGGGGAGTTAAAAACCTTAAAATTAAATACCTCATTTTTCCCAAACCAAAGTATGTTCTCTATACTAATAAAAGTGTCTACTGCAGCTTGAAAAGAGTGATAAATGTGTGCTGCATCAACTCTCATATATATTTTTTTTATTTGAAATGCTTTTAACTTGTAGTGAGTGGTCAGTGGTTGTCAGCCCTGGATGTCTGTTGGAAACATTCTCACTAATGCAAACAAGGCAGAATTGCTGTTGGTGTTGTTGAGAGGGTGTTGGATCTCTGTGATCTCTCCTGCATCCTCAAAGGCTGCCAGGCCATTTTCAGTAAACTTCTGGTTGAAACTATTGTTTGGCATCCATGTCAACTCTGAAGTTATTTTTCTAGTGCCAGAGAAGCTGTAGCTATTATTGGTGGCATCTCAAAACTACACTTCAAAAATAGCATTGAATAAGCTTGTGAGAATCTTCTGTGAATGCCAGACTGTTAATCTTGCTTTATGTAAACCATTTTTACTTGTATTTTAAAAGCTTATAGTTTGTAACACAGTTGTATGCTTTTGTAAGGTTACTTGGGACTTAAATGGAATCAGTCCTACTGTAATGGAACCCAGCTTTTCAGAGTTATTTTTATGTATCTGTTCCAAGTTCTCTGTTCACTAAATTACTTCTGCAGTGGAGGCATTAAATTTTAGATGCAAAGTCCTACAGTCCCCTGGAGCCAGGGAAACAGGAATTCTCTGAATAAGCACAAAAGGGATATGCCCACCCCTTTCTTGGGAATGCTCTGTTTAACAAGGTTGTTTGCAGTAATTCTGAATTTCCCTTTCTCCAAAGGTGCTGTTGACTGTAGTCATAGAATCAAATAGGTTTTAACTCATAGGTGACTGTTACCGTGTGTGGACCATCAGAGTTGCTGTGACAAACTTTAGCATGTTTAAGCATCTTTTGACATATCTCATGGTAGCTCTGGGGGTTATTTCAGGTGATGCTGAATTGAAATCCAGCTTTCTCCTCTTACTGAAGGCTCATGTTCGTCAGCCTCACCACCCTTATTGCCAAACTCCTTAGGCAGGTGTTCTCATATATTCTCAAACACTTTTCCCTTTCCTACCTGTACTTATATATATCATGTATTAATAAAGGCCCTGTTTAATCCCTTTATTCTTATTTCTTACTGTCCATATTTCCTCATTCTTTTCTGGACATTGCTCTTCCATGAAACAGCCTTCGCCTCCCTGAGTACATTTTGTATTCAAGGGAAGTCTGGCAGAATTTTATCCCTTATCTGCATCAATGTTGATGATGATGCTGTCAGTCATACTGTATTTGACTTTCAGTCCAAGCCTGAATTTGTAATTTATTTAGTCTTTCAGGCCTTTCCTCTGTGCTTTGATCTCAAATGCCATTGACAGATGTGAGAAATATCTCTAATTTAGAAGATGGCCAAATACAGTGAAACAAAGAGCTTTATTAACAGCGCGCTGGGTGCACGAACTCGTGACCTGGTCCGAGCACCCCGCCGTTTGAAAAATGCACCCTTTTGTACCCTTTTGGTTACATAAGCTGTTAAATATTCAACAGGTGTAAGGTATTTTACCTTAAAAGGTAATTTTTTGAACTCAGGAGGGGGTGTTACCCTCTCTCCTGATTGATTGATGATGTACTCCTATGTACAGAGGGGTCTCTCTGCACACAAAGGCCAGCCATGTGGCCAGGGTATATTTTCTATTTTTATATATTTTTTTCCCTACTTTGACCACGATGTTTCCTTGATGTCAGGCCCAGACAGGGCTTTTCACCTTACAGTCTCTACAAGGTGCCTAAAACTCTTGGAATTAAATGAAAGAGAAGAAATAAATCCCACCAACCCCTGCTTTTCACTAAATTCATTTTGCTTATAATAAAACCAGATTATTTATTTCTCATACAGATTTACTGCTTTATTATTTTGTTTTATTTTGTTGTCAGAGCTTTTGCAAAGTAGGAGAAATAAGTCCCAGATTATCAGAATGATGATGATAAATTGCAGCAAGTGCAGAGGAAACCCAAAGTTTTCATGAGACTGAATAACAGATGGCTTATGAAGAAAGATTGAAAGACCATTTTTTTGGTTACATTGATGATTGAAGGAGAATAGAAGGCTTAGAGGTATTTGAATGGTGTTAACAGCAAAGAAGCAGTTGAGTTACTGTAATACAAAAAACTAAAACTAGAGATATTTGGATTAATTTAATGGAAGAGAAATTTAGGCTGTCTGATAAAACTTTTACATGATGCTAGTTGTTGCTTTATGAATTAGTGGTAAGCGCATGGTTTCTTGGAATATAAGGGCAGACAAAAAGAAAACTAACACAGAAGAATTGGAGCAGTTTTAAGGAAACCACCTGAAGGGTCTCTTCTGTCCCTAACTCAGTAGTTCTGTAAAAGAGGTGAGCTTAGATGTTCCAAAAACATTCAGAATGTAATCTCTGTGGTCTTCCTGAATGTCATGAAATACCATGGTTAAATTGCATTTTTGTTAATACTTGCTTCTGTGTTTGGGTACAGTCATTATTTGGGAGAAATAACGATAGAGTAATAGATGAGAGAATTGTCTTAGTTCTTGCACATGGGTGTGGGAAGGAAAGAGAAAGAAAAATTTACTTCTGGGGAGAAACTGAAAGGATGGCAAAATGAAAATGTAGGGATGTTCTGTGAAATAGTGATTCACTGAAACCTACATGTTCTATAAACAGTGTTGTATTGATCACCATCAAATCCTGACCAGTAATTGAATTCTAGACTGCTGGGGTAGGAGGGAAAAGAATGTAGGAAGAGCAGGATGTGCATCCAAAGGGGACATATCCTACTGCTTTCCTTGCATCCTCAGGTGAGGAAACTAAACTGTTTTTTTCAGGGTTGTCAGTTGACTGATAGGAGAATTTCAGAAGACTAAAGGAGGAATGTTTCTACAGATCAGTAAAATATGAAAAAATATCAGCATAATTATTTATGGACAACTTTTTTCAAACCTTCTGAAATGGAAATGTCTTGGAGTGTCACTGAATTCAGCAAGGTTTGAGAGCATTAAGTGTCCCACAGAGCCAGGTTTGCCAGGTTTCCATTTGGTTTGTAGATCTGGTGCAGCACAAATGCAAACTCAGTGCTGCACAGGCCATTTCAGAATCAGTGTTAACTGATTTGTAAGTGGGGCACAAGCACCTCAGGTACCTGGGGAATTGGGAGTGTGACAGGAGGGGAATTGGTTCCTCAGGGTTGTTAACTGCAAAGTCCTTCTTGAGAATGAGCTGAAGGTAACAAACTGGACAGACACTGAAGAGCATCTGGAATCCAACAGCAAAGTGCCTGGACCACAGCATAAGTAATATTAGTGGTTTAAACAGGGACTGCTGGTTTTCGCTTTCTCTGGGTTTTATTTTTTCCCTTTCTTTTTCCAAGACTCTCCCTGTCTGTGTCCCACTCTGTCTTTCCAAACCTTCTCTTGCAAGAAGCACTGTGGGGGTGCAGATAACACAGATTCACAGGCACATATAAACAAGGTGTGGTGCTCCTAAAGTTACTCAACCTACTCTTTTTATTTTTACGCATGATTGCCCCCTTTTCTGCTTTTGTATGCACATCTCCCTCCAGCACCAGGAGCACTGGAGATCGGCTCTTGGCTGATTCCTAATGATGATTCTTGAGACAACTGGTATGCTTAACTATGCTTAATTAATGGGCCAAGATGGTGCAGTTATGTTACTGTCCGTACATCTAATTGTATTTTATCACGTTTTCAAAAAGCAAAAGAACCTGTAGAATTTAATGAAAATACAGGACATTGGAATTATTTAGTTATTGCTTCCCTTCTCAGTGCTCAACACAAGAGTTCTTCCTGATTGTCAGCACCCTGTCTCGCCTGCACTTGGAAATCCAAGCTCTTGTCCCAGTGCTGCATTCCCATGTGAAATCTCCGCTATTAAAAAGTGCACTGTTGGAAGTCCCGGAGCTTCTCTCTCCAGTAAAACATTATTTAAAGATCCTTAATGAAGAAGCAGCCAAGTAAGTAGAGAAAATAGATGAATCTTCTGTGCTTCATAAGCTTTCTGATTAAGTGTATTCAGTTATGCAAATTATGCATCTTGTTTTAGTACACGTTTGTTTTAAATTTTTTATTTTGTATTTATGTACAATAGCTTTTAGTTAAAACATAAGTTGTTGTTATCTATGGCTTATATTCTTTTTTTAAAGTTAAACTAGGTGAGCAAGCATTTTGCCTAGTGGTTGTTTGCCTCAGGCCAAATAACTTTTTGAAAGTTTTTCATCTATTTTGGACAATGAATTTACAGCGAAAATGTGTTTTGCATTAGAATAAATTGTTTTCACATCTCTTTTTGAGGGGAGACTTGGCCTTTTAGCAGAGTGGGTGCTCTGCTGTCAGGAATAAACCTTTTACTATTTTTATGACAATTCATTAAAGCTGTTTGCCTTTTTTGTCTTAATTGTGTCCTTTGTTGGTCCAAAAAAAATAAAAGGTAGAGGAAGAAGATGGACTTAATATGCATTATACTGGAGAGTGTCTTCAAATAATTTTTTTGTACTGTTCCTTTGATGATAGATATGTGATATGGTTTGAAGCTGGCTCCCTGCCAAGTCTCCAAACCTTACCACCAGAAGTCCCCCCAAACCTCAGGGAGAAGAGGGAGAAAAACAACCAGCTAAGAAAACCCGAAAGGAGAGAGACAGCTAAAGTGATATATATAAATATATTTACACTTATGTTACAATTGAAATATATACAATGTAATATATATACAATTTCACAAGGGAAGGGGAAGGGGGAAGGGAAAGGGAACAAAACCAAAATAATATATATATATATATATCCCAATCAGTAGCCCGAGATCTAGTAACTAAAGAGTTAGCAAAGAAAATATCCCACCACTCTCCCTGGGACAACCGAGAGTCGCTCCGGGACGATCGCCGGCAACCTCCGCCTCCCAAGGTCGACAAGGCCTTACCAGGCCTCGCTCCCCAACATGGCAGACTCAACAGCAGGGAACCTGCACCTCCAAGCCACCAGAAGGAAAGAGAGCGAAGGCCTCTCCTCCTTTCTTCTTATAGTCTGGCTTACGTAAAAATCGTAGGGAATACTGGGTAAATCTGGACCCTTCCTTGATTACAAACTGGTCACCAAGGAAGGCCTAGCCCAAACCACCACAATGTGGTATATAGTTTAATATATAACTACATTGGGGCATCCACCTTATTTATAAAACGTTTTTTTTCTTTTCCAAACTGGGTTTTAAAATTAGATTTAAGAACTGAAGCCTAGAACTTAACTGCATTTGTTTCTGAATTAGAGACAGATCCAAGGTGTATAAATTAAGGCATTGAGAAGGGCAGAAGGATTTGCTCTGCCCATTGCATAGGTGGGATTATGAGATTTCTGCTGATATATGGTGTCCAATTATAGTTGTGGCAGTTTATGACAAAACTGACTGTATCTAAATAACACCACATTTACTGTAGATTTGAAATACAAGGGGGTTTTCTTCTGTCACTGTATTGGTCATGGGTAGAATAGTATACAAAAATGGTATAAGTAGAAAGATATCATCATTGATCTGCAGAATACATATTTGCATTGATTCAAGATGACTAAAATAACGTATCTTTCAGCTTTTATTTATTTCAACTTTGTGCCAGTACTGGTTTTACTCCAAAACATTTCTTTTGTAAAAATCACGAATAGTACTCACATCCATATGTGAGCACACACACTTGTGCAGACACTACATCACATGTTAATTTTGTTATGAGGTGTGGATAAAATCCTGTTTGCAAAAGTATCCCTCTGTTCTAGGGCTTTTTTTATGGGGAGTTGGAGATTTTGGGTTTGTGTTTTTTCTATTTTTAAACTGTCAACTAAAAATTTTTGTAGGCATCACATAGCACTGACAGTCTTCACAATCAGCTGCTGGCTACTGGTGATCTTTTTTTTCCCCTTGAATTCCCATGGAAACAGGTCTAATTAGCACAAAATCGCTTCTAAAAATTAGTATTGTATTTTAAAATGGCATCTTTACTGTCACTTACATAATACCAACGAAATGTAATGCGAAGCCAAAGCACAGCTTTGTATTACCTGCCTGGTCACTGGCTCCAGTTGTAGTTTCATTCTCAAGTCAGAGGGGTAGCAGAGTAAGTAGAATATTAGATTTTTTTATTACTTCCATGTTCTAATACTTTCGGTTGGCTAATTACTTGCTCTCCACATATTATTTTTTAGGGCAATTATGTAATTAATTGGTAGAGGTTTTGTTTGCTCTAAAATACAAAATTGTATTCCAGTTAACTTAGTGTTAATTGCACTGCTTTTTATTCTTTGCTTGATACTTAATAGGGTAAGTTAAATTTTTGTTATTTTTGTTGACAACCATGTTTTTAATAGCTAGTTCAGGTCCCAGATTTTAACCATTTGAATGGCATTCCCTGTTTCAGATGTCAATCCTGAGCTGAGTTAGTGCAGCCAAAATAATTTTGTCTTTTTTTTTGACGTTGAAACTAGAAAAGAGCATTGTTTTGCATGTAGTTAAAAGTGCTCAGGTTAATCTTTTCTGGAGAAAACAAGGAAGAGTTTTCTCAGAGCTGCTCTGAGAAAGCCCTGATGGCATTCTGCTTCGATTAGGACCTTGGCGGGGGGAGAGGGGTTCTTTGCAATTCTCATTAAAATGTGCCCAAATTTGGCCAAATTCTAAATATGTTAAAAGTCTGTGTGCATGTTATGCAGAAATTATCTAAAGCTTCACATTTAATCATAATAAAGATGTTATCAGCACTTGGGGTGCTCTGTATGCGAAGTGCCTTTCTATTCATGTCATGAGTATGGCAGCTTTTGGTAAATATGCTGTACCATGACCAAGCACCTGAAAATCTATATTTAGAAGGGAGTAAAGCTAATGTTAAAACAAATGAGAATAACAAATTAAAATAAGGACACAGCCAGCAGAATCAGGGAATGTATCTCTGTTTTTACTATTATTTTATCTTATGCTTTTTATGGATAGGACTGGAGATAAAACCCAGTTGTTCAAGGACCTTACAGACTTCCCTGTCATCAGAAAGAAAAAGGAGGACATCCAGGGTGTGCTTTCTAAAATCCAATTGCATCTGCCAGACATTCGTAAACAGATTAAGAATCCTTCTGCTGAGTATGTTACAGTTTCAGGTCAAGAGGTAATATTGTATTTATTAAAATATGACTGCACCCATTCTTGTCTAGAAAACATCTTAAAAGTGAGACCTACTAGAACTTAGTATGATGCTTGATGAGGTCATTTGACTATAATCTTTTGTCCAACTTTGAAGAACAGCTTACTTATAGTATGACTCTTACTTGTTAAGTCAATTACTTTAGTGATTTAAATAATAGAAACTGCACACATTAGTGCAGTTCGATTTGTTTCAGTGATGCTTCATTTTTCTATGTATGTAAAAGCACTCACATACTTGCAGGGTTAATTTTGTGACTAGTAAGTGCTGAAATACTCTCAAGAGGACCAGAAAGCATAGCATGTAGTTAACTTGGAGAATGGTGGAAGAATTTGTAAGTACTGAGTAAGACTGTAGTTTGAAAGATGGGAGAAAAGAGGAACCGTATTAAAGAATGATAAATGTTGTTTGAATTCTAGAAACAGTGCTTTAGACTGGAGCTTTTGTTTGTAGGTGCTGTGCAAGTGTGGGCAGGACATGCTCCAGTGAGCTGAGAAGTTCAGTGGTGAAAAAAGAGATGTCAGATACTGCAAAATTTGTAGGGGAACTGAGGGGAGCAGTGAGGTAGCACAGCTCAGCACTGTCCTTTGGGAACTGAGAGTAGGAAGGCTGAGAAAACTCCATTAGAAAATTGGGAAAAGAAAGGAGTTGGGAAATGGAGAGAAATGGAGAGTAGAGGAGAGGAATGTGTGAGGACAGGAAGGGAAGGAGCTGGAATTGGCCCATGGAGGACTTCGGAAAGTGAGAAGGACCCAAGCGACACAGGAGGGAGCAAACAGGCACTGCTGAAATGAGGGAGAATGTGGGAAGGGATGAATTAGAAACAGCAGCCTTTGACAAAGACCTGTTGATGGTGGAGACGAGAACAGCAAACACATGGCCCAAGAGCTGCGCAGGTTGGCAGCAGAGATACTGAAATTCAGCGGGAAAGTGGAAAAGTGTGTTTGGGTATTGTCTGAGGGAAGAAAGAGCCAGGATTTGAAAAGTTTCTCTCAGAGAGGCTACATTAAGAGTATATGATGACAGCTGTGTGAAGGAAAGGAAAAGAGAGGAATTGATCAAAGAGAGGAGAAAGCACTTGAGGAAGTACCGAAATGTGGAGTTGATAGGAGGGTTAAAAACCACCAGTCAGTGCACACATATAAGAGAGCACTCATAGTTCAGAAACCATTGCAGATGGAGATGTGTGTTGGTGTATTGGTAAAAGGAGCTCTTATTTAATGATATCTGGTGAGGGTGTCTCACAGACACCAAAAGGGTCAACAGGGGAAGGGTCAGAGAAGATGGTCAGTGAGGAAAGGAAAGACACCAAAGGGGTAGGAGTAAGGGAAGGGGAATTGTTAGAGAGGAGAAGAACACACAAGTAGAACAGGAATCTGTTTGATTTGAGCTCTTTCTTCCTCAGATGTGTGTGGTATATTCTGCTTACATGCTGATAGATGTAGAATTCAAATGCTTCTTCACAGAAGGAGAGCAATAAGAAGTATTTCAAGACAAATATCTTGAAAGTGTTTTAGGTGAATGAAAAACTCGTCCACCATGCCATTGCTGGGTTTTTTTGTGCCCATGTCAGGACTGTTATTTTTGTTTGTACTTGAGGGTGATTGCTGGCTATTCCAGTGGGCTGTGGAAGGTTTTGTCTAAATCATATTAATTATGATGGAAAAGCTTTGTCAGACCAGAGTCTCATGGATTTCTGTAAACATGGGCATAGTCTGTGTTAATCTAATCTCTGCAGGTAATTCATTTTCCAGCTGAATTTTGTGATCAGGAATGCTTCAATTCTCTGACATCCAGGGCCTCAGGCTGGTGTTACAAAGATAACTGACATGAATCATATAAAACATTGCAATAAACACATCACCTATATTTCACTGCACTGAGCATCCTGCCATTACTGCTGTTTTTCCCTGTGCCTCCCTCTCTGCCCCTGAGTTGATTCAAACCTCAAGCAAGGTTCTCTAGATACAGGAGGGGTTATGTATGTCATAACCCTTGCTTTTCTGGGGGAGAAAGAACATTAACTTCTGGTCTGCTCAGTCTCTTCAGGCTGAATATTGTTTTCCTCTGATGCATGTGGATTTCTTGATTTATAATGATTATGATTCTCTAGCCTTCCTGACTTCCCATGATGTGTAATATTCCATTTCTGTTATTTCAGTTTCTGATAGAAGTCAAGAATTCCCATAAATCATCTGTGCCATCTGACTGGGTTATGATTAGTAGGTATGTAAAATATCTTTGAAGTTGTTCTATTTTAATATAGAAGTAAAACCATGGTATTTTGGTATTACAATTAATTACATACACATTCTCATTGCTTCATTTGGTTATGGGTTTTTTTTTTTAGCTAAACCCAACCGACCACAATTGTAAATTTATTGATTAAAAGCAAACAAAACCAAGCAGAAAAATGGAGTGCTTAAAGCATTTGTTTTTACACAGAAGATCCTTAGAGCACTGTATTATTTACCTAACCTTTTAAAGTACATGTACTGGTGTTAAAACCATGGTCTTGATTCAGTTGTGCCTGTAGCTTGCATGTGCAAGTGCTTCATAAAATTTTGATTGTTCTTATTTTATTCAGAAGGGTTAAAGTAGCTATACAAACATCTGTTTGTACATCTCAATAAATTCAGTTCTTTTAAAATGTCATTTTGCTTACTCATACAGACAGGCTTTTCTTGCTCTGGTACTTGGTGCTGTGTAAGCATGATTTTAGATAGTTTTGGATACTTCTCTAGCAGGTGAAACAGAGATGGACTGAATTATGTAGTTGGCTTTTATTTCCCTCCAGTAATTTATGATTCAGAGGGGTTGAATACCTTAAAGTTATAATGTCCATGTAAATGCTGAATTTTCTACAAGGCCCAGTTTGTAATATGTGAGCACAGATATCACAGGTGAACTCTGAAGTGATGTTCTATTAATTTATGCAAGAGTTCAGTATTGAAAGTGCAGATATTAGACCGAATTAATATGATGAACGAATTGCACCTAATCTGGATTCTGTAAAACAATGCCTGGGTACCCCACAGTGAATCCTTAATGAAAATACATAAACAAATACCAAGTGCCCCAAGTGGAAACTAGCAAGGCACGCTGTATTTACAAAGTTCATTTGAGGCTTGTCATGAAGTTTTCCTTTTTAAAGTAATTTTCTTTGTGTAGTTCATTGTATATGCAACCAGCTACAGAAAAGCCATCCATTTAGGCAGTGTTTTGTGAACAGAGTTTTGTGGAATATGTAAACGTTGATGATATATGCCACATTGTGCAAAATATTTCAGAAGCCTTGTGATTGGACAGTCTCGTGGTTACTGACCACTTTATTCACAGTAAATACTAGTGGAATCAATAGGGTTTGGTACCACAACAAAAGAACTTTTTTTTTTTCTTAATCATCCATTTTCAAGGCTCTCAGTGAGTAAGAAAACTATTCCAATTTTGCATGTAGATGGTGTAGCTGATTGCATGGTGACCTTGATTTCCTGTTTGGCTTCTCTCTCCCTTCCAGCACAAAAGCTGTGAGCCGCTTCCACTCTCCTTTTATCATAGAAAATTACAGGCATCTGAATCAGCTCCAGGAGAAGCTCATCCTTGACTGCAGCGCTGAGTGGCTGAACTTCTTAGAGTGAGTTTACAAAATACAGCCCATCCTCATCATTGTATTTGGTTTGGAGTTTGCTGTAAGAGGAGAAAAAGAAAGATGTTTATCTAAAAAGAAGTTTGTAGTTGTCCAGAACAACCTTATAGGTAGTCAATTAAAATGTTGCTTAAAGCAGTTGAAGGCAGGACCTTGAAGTCTGAGTCCTGAGACTAGCAGTGATATCTCTGTATTTTCACATTCTAATGAAAATACACTATTACTTATGTAAGGTGTCCCTCAAAGTTTGAAAACTAATATCACATAAGATATTAGTTTTATTAAGAGCAAAATAATAATATAATACTAATACTATTATTCTAATATATTAATAAATTAATATTAATTCTTTTTAAAATAATTAAGAATCTAAAAGTACAGTGGAGTGAAACTGAATCGAGTCGTTTTATTGTTGAAGTAGTACTACTATTTATTAATATTATATAGTAGTGTTATTATTAATTATATTTTTTACACCATCCTGAGTTTGACTATGATTATTTGCTAGAAAGTAGTGGGAGTTCTATTGTCCCTCACATCTGGCACATCTGTTTGTCTGAGGTCAGAGGTTTTAGTGGTGTAATTTGACTATTTGGCCAAAGGATCTTTAAAATGGGAGTTTAAAAATTATTTCTGGGACTTCTGAATGCCTTTAATTTTTCAGTTGTCCAGTTATCCGTTATTTTTTTACTTCCATGAATTGCAAAGCTGGTGAAATTGTGCCTCTTGTCATGCAATGATAGTTTGCAAAAGCTTAGCAAGTCCCCTCTGAAATTGTCTCACTGGATTTGCCCCATAGTGGGAACCCAGCAATTCTCTAAATTTGATAGAAACTAGAAAAACATTCCAATTTGCACTTCTCTGGGTGTGTTTCCTGTGCAGTGCTAAGAAAATGGTTCTCTTCATGTTCCCTTGGCTGTTTTCAATAATGTTGTATAACAGCAGACAACAAGGAAAGACCTGGGTGTAGGAAAGTGCTCTTCTTTCCCATCCTCCATTCATTTATGTCTTTGTTTATTAAACTTTGCTCCCCTGCTGGTTTTGTGTTCTATATTGTACCTTTGAGACTAGGAGATGGGAGAAAACAAATTCTTGAGGATGAACAGAATGAACTTTACTGAAAAGTTTGCTTCCCCTGGTCATGTCATTATTGTGCTGGGGAAGCAATACATAAAATGAAATTTAATTCTTGAATTTTCTGCTGTAGATACCATACTTTATTGAAATTGTAGACAACTCCTGTGTCGGACACTCCAGTTTGGTTCTTTTCTGATTGTAACTTATGGTTGAAGTTGAACCAGTGATTGGGATTCAGCTGTCACTGTAACAAATTGTGGCATTTTTACAGACCTCATGGAGGCAACTGCTGACCCTTAGTATGCTACCTAATGAATTTCATTTTTGTCTGATTTTTTCTGTCTAAAAATAATTCACTCTTAGAATGTCATAAAGTCCATCGTGATTGTGTCCTCCTGTTGCAGCCTAAATCACTGCTGAGAGATTTGAATTCAGAGCGATTTAGCAACCACAGGAGCTCTGTGAAGAACTTGCATGGAGTGTATTTTGACAGTGCTTCTGTATCTGTGCAGAATTATTTTTTCCCCTTTTCTTCTGTTACTTTTCCCTGTTTTGGTACAGCCATTTCAGTGAACATTATCACTCTGTGTCTAAAGCCATTGGTCACCTAGCAACTGTTGACTGCCTGTTCTCTCTTGCCCTGGTGGCTAAACAAGGAGACTATTGCAGGTAATCAATTTTTAATTTTTATTTGGGATTTTTAAGGGAATTATAAGAGGGTGTTTAAAATAAATCAGATTTTTAATATCTGTACTATGATAAAATGCATTATTAAAATTGTTTACAATAGTTTCAACTTAATCTGATTTTGCAAAACAACACTTCCGGGCAAAACACAAATCTGTAAACATTACAGTTCAAATTTTACATGTTATGTCAAATTAACAAATCAACAAACAAATTATGTTTTTTGTTTGACCTGAGTCTAGTGGATGATATCTCACTATATATAAATAAATGTTGGACTTTGCATGGACTTCTTTTTCTCATTTTTTTTTTCTCAGCAAGATCTGAGTTTATAATATCTTTCTACTACCTCAGTTTCTCAGGTATTTGAGGTTTGTTTCAGTGATGTATTTCAGATAAATAATAGATAAATATTAGTTCCGGCTTGTAGAGCAGAGGGGATGCCTCACCTGGCATCAGGTGTGATGAGTTGTGCACCTGCCCCTGCCCAAGACCCACACATAGGCAAATGAAATCAGCTTACATGTATTTCTGCTCTTATACATCTTTAAACATAATACTGATCACCTCTGGACTCTTGGGATCGCATGTGCCTCTGTTAAAATCTCTTTGAAAGTAATTGCTCACTTATTTCTGTATACTCAGATGAGAAAACAAACTGAAGTCTGATTAATTCACTGCGCCAGGGTTTAAATAATTCACTGAATTTTAGAATGGCTTAGAGCTTATAAACTGGCTGGAAAGAGACTTCTCAGTGAAACTTCAACTGCAGGGAAGGTGTCACTAATTAATTTTGGAGGGCTGCTGAAGGAAAGATTAGGATAGTAATACTAAGCATTTTGGAGGAATGTTTTTTGACTCAGTGAGGATCGTTTCCTATAGCTCAACCTCAGGTAGGTAAGTGAGCCAGGTCAGGAGCACAAGTGCTCTGCACAGTTGTGGGGGAGAGCTGAGCACCTCTCACAGTTCAGAGGCATCTGAGGATCCCTGGGTAGGGAAACTCTTCCTTTACACAGATGATTTACAGCATCAGGGCTCTCAGGCAGCAACGTTAGGGACGTAAAGATGATGGTGTGTGTAGTCCAGAGACCATCATCTGATGTTTGGGTGTCCACTCTCCAGGGTGTGAATGGTTTAAGGGATGCTGTTGAAAAGGTAGTATAAGGCTCAAGACTGTCTATATATTGGTTTCATCTCAGCTATACAACTGCTGGGAAAAAACCTGCCATTATCAATTTGCATCTCTTTCCCCAGTGCTTTGTGTTTCTAATGTGCCATTTATTTCATCTCCATTTTCCTTCTAAATTGCATACTCCCACTCCCCACATCTTCCCTTTAAAGACCACCCAGAGTATCAGTTCATTTCCAGTCTTGAAATTCTGTGGCTTTATTCCAGTATCCTCTTTTTCCCAGAGCTGCTGCCCCTCTCCCTATGAGTTACTGCTCTTATTTCAGTGGTTGTACTTCTGGGGTAGGAAAATGTTGCTGAGACATGGAACCACATTTACCTCTCCACTGAGTGCTGCAATTCAGTTTACAATGGAAAAGAAAAAGTAGGTTGCAGAGAACAAAAAGAATTAATAGAATTCAGTGGAACATGCTTCTTTTTTGTTTTTTGTTCTGTGAAGAACATTCAGTATTTTGAGATGGAGCTTTTCAGACATGGAGATATATAGTGAAGAATTAGATGTTACATTAGTAGACTTGTAGACAAATTTGCAGTGCAGGTGGAATTTCCTTATCCAATTTGCTAATATATTCTTATCCAATTTGCTAATATATTCTTTTGTAATCGATCGAAAGTAAGGAAGTCTTTAGAAATGCTAAATGTCAATAATTAATTTTTATAATTTGAGAGGTTTTTTCACAAAAATCTACATCATAGGTGACCCTCCTGCAGGCTTTAGTTGCAGTAAATTATTAGTTACAATAAATTAGAATTAATATATTTTCTTTTTTTGCAGACCAGTTGTGCAAGATAATCGGCAAGAAATAATTATAAAAAATGGGAGGCACCCTGTGATTGATGTACTCCTGGGAGAACAGGATCAGTATGTTCCAAATACCACTAACCTTTCTGTAAGTACCAAGATACTTCAAAATCATTCAAGGGAAGGAGTCTGGGATCAGCTTCTTGGCCAGGAAATTAAAATAAGTAATTTAATCATACAACTGTCTGCTTGGTTGCATTTCAGAGAGATATTGCTAGATGTGACCACATCTTTTTTGTCCCTTTTCTGATATCTGGCAGCCAGACACTCTTTTTACAACCTTGTTCAACCTTAATGGCATAAATAAAAGAAAGGTTATCTCAGTATTAGGAAAATGTGTTTTAAATTGTTGTTTTTGAAAAACAAATGGATAATTATGGGGGTTTTAATGGTGTAATCAGAAGGAGTCTTAATTTTGTCAAAATCTTTTCTCAAAATTGTGGAGTGTTTTAATATGCAAAATAGATGTGACAGGCTCAGTTTTGCACCTTGATTCTAAGATTGCTTCTGTATTTTTTTAGGTATTTCTCTACTAAGTGTTTTCCTTTCTTTCTGAAAGTGTTAATGTGATGCAGACTTCTTTTTCCTGATGAACTCTGTCCTTTAAATTACCTGTCCATTTGAGGTTTTTCATTAAATATTTACCTGTCTATATATTTTTTTTAAATATTGTCTGTTCTTAGTGAATATTAAAGAAATCCTTGCAACTTAACGCTGAGCTCTCTCTGCCTTTTTATATAGTAAATACGGAAAAGGTATGAAACAGCTGTCAGTGTGGAACATTTCTCTGATAAATAGCATTCAAATTTGTATGTATTTCTTGGGAAATATTTTTAAATGCTGTTCTATACTGAACAATGATACAGATATTTTGCAATACTGCAGGGAATGTTTTCAAAATTATTTGTCAACTCCGAACAAGTAACAGATGGCACTTAAAAAAAAATTCAGCATTTCATTCAGTAATCATCATCCACTTTTCCCTGTTTAGCCCCATTCTTATGTTGGCTTTCTAAATACTGAATATTACAAAATTAAGTGATCATAGTGGAATCACTTTTGCTTCTACTGTTGAGTTTTCTCTTTCTTGAGAGAAGAGGTGGGTGGGAACTAGTGTGGTAAAACGTCTCTAGTTTTCAACTACTGTGTTTGAATCAACAGGAAAATACATCTCCTGTCATGCTTTCAGATGAAATATTGTCAAATATCTAACTTGAGGAAAAGCTCTCTTGCAGTGCCCTGAAATAAACATATTATTTTTCCATTCCCCTTCTCCTCCACAAATGTTCATGGATTGTTTTAGAACTTTTAACTTCAGCCATGGATTCCAATAAGATGGTGGCTTATCGCTGTGTGCTTTTTTAAGGGCAGATATTGTTGCGTTCCAGATTAAGCTATGAACTGCCCACTGCAGTTACATTTTTATTTAAGACTTCTTAAAAGCCTTTTGGTTCATTATAACCTCTAATTAGCATCTGGAGAAAGAGTCACCCACTCTTATCTGAGAGAAATTCTTTTTAATTTAGTGAGAAAAAAAAAATATTTTGGCGAAAGGTTTTTACAGGAGTAAAATACAACCAAGAAAAAAGCATTTCACTAAAACATTCAGCACAAAGACCCATTACACAGGAAACACCCACTAAAAACTATCCATATACCAGCTTTAGTAAAACACAGTTCATTGGTTTTAAGTCACTCACAAGAGAAGGAAAAGAGCAACAGGAGAAAACAGATTAAAAGAGTAAAGAAAGAGAGAAGGAGAGAAAGGAGAGGAGAACAGTTACCGACAAGATTTGATGATTCACATGGTACCAGCTGGAGGGGGAGAAGAGAGAGACAGGGAGACCACCTGGAGTCCCATGTATTTCTAGAGTTCAGTTTTCCCTCCCAGGCAGGTTATCCCACCAGCGCTTTCCAGTCCTGGGTGAGTTGTGTAGCCAGTCCCAGGCTGCAGGGGTGTGGTGTGGGTGAGCTGCCAGGCAGCTCTGCCTTGACTGACAGCCCGACTGACAAGGCTGCAGGGCCTTCAGCTGTGCCACGTGCTCTGCGTGGGCTGCAGGCCTTGCCTTCAGCTCTGCCCTGTGCCCTCAGCACAGGCCTGATGTGCAGGCCTTACTATGGACCTGCAGGTCCAGGGCCAGCCCCTCCCCACATGCACACACACACACACTCACAGTGAGTTGGTTCCGACCCGTATCAATAATTCACTGAGATTCGTATCCAGTATCTCACAGATGTGTTCTCTGCTCTGATGTAACAGCAGATGTTCTTTCTGAAAACCAGAGGATTTGCAAACCAGCCACCAGTGTCACAGCATGGTTGGAGGGAGCCTGGGCAGATTGTGGATTTTAACAGATGAACTCGTGAACTCATTCTGATTTTAAATTGTGTTGGTTTGAGCCCTGACAAAGTTTTTAGTAGCAGCATTAGAACTATAGCCTGGAGACTAGAATGTTATGCATTTTGTTCTCATACAGTCATGTGCATTTTATTACATTCATCCTTTATTCCCAATAGTGGCATTTTCTGAGTTTTGACTGTATTACGACTTCCGTATGGATGAGGTTTGCTTTGCAAAAGCTGAGCAGCTTTTTACATATAATAAATTCTGATTGCCTGTATCTTCTGTACTATGACATAAGTGACAGTCCTATCTGAATTTTATGTGTGTCTCTATAAACAGAATGAAAGCCCCATCAAAAGTCAGATCTGTAAAAGATCTTGAGACTTTTTCCATGGAGAGTTTTTTGGTTGTTGTTTTCACAGTACCTGATCAGTTCCAAGTTTCCCAAGCAGTGTGACTAACACAGCTTGTCCTGCCCTCTATGCCTCTCCCTTGGGGCAGTAGAGTGTGCTGACTTTTGTGTAGTTCATCAGTTGCTGCATTTCTTTGGATGCACCCAGGGGAAAGGAAAAGAGTGCCTGTGTGATGTCCTTGCATAACTTAATTTCCTAGTCTGGATTTGGGCTGTGAGAAAGCTTTATAGATTCATTGAAGAGTTTTAATTTTGTATGAGCAATTGTCTGGCACTGGAGTAGGCAGTCTTACAGCTGAGATGAGTTCTTGCATCTGATTTAACTTTCTGTGTGGTTTCAGTGGTCAGATACACTTACTGACTAGAGATTGGGTACAGTCTGCTCACAGTATTTGTGTTGCAGTTAAGAATTGCCAAACTCAGCAATGTCTTCATTTCTTGTTGTAGCCAGTCTGAGTGTACTTATGTCATACCAAGGCAGGCAATTATGAGTGTAAAATCCAGGTCAGGTCTTTGTCTGTCAGATCTCCCCATTTGGCAATGAGAACTCCAGCTGGAGAGGAGTCCAGATCACAGCCAAATTAGGACAGCTCTGGCTATGCTGAGAGCTCATGAGTTTCTGCTTTTCTCCAAAGAAGATTACACAGAATCTCAGAATCCCAGAATGGTTTGGGTTGGAAGGGACCTCAAAGCTCATCCAGTTCCACCCCTGCCATGGGCAGGGACACCTTACACTATCCCAAGTTGCTCCAAGCCCCATCCTACCTGGCCTTGGACACTTTCAGGGATGGGGCAGCCACAGCTTCTCTGGGCGACCTGTGTGGGGCCTCACCACCCTCACAAGGAATAAATTCCTTCCCAATATCCCATCCAACACTGTCCTCTGTCAGTTTGAAGTCATTCCCCCTTGTCCTGTCACTGCAGACCCTTCTAAATAGTCTCCATCTTTTCTATCAGCTCCCTTCAGGTCCTGCAAGGCCGCAATTAGGTCACCCTGGAGCCTTCTCCTCTCCAGTCTGAACGGTCCCAATTCTCCCAGCCTTTCCTCACAGCAGAGCTGCTTCATCCCTCTGATCATCTTGGTGCCTCCTCTGGACTCGCTCCAGCAGCTCCATGGCCTTCCTGCGCTGGGGACCAATTTCTTGGATACTTTCTTAGCTCCTTGATGGAGAAGAGGAAGATTCCCCCTCACTGTGTCCATTTTGCTCAAGAGCAATCAAAGTTGATTTTGATGCATCTGGGGCTTCATAATATCTGGAAAAGCGAATGTGATGAATAGGAAGTTTAGACCTGCAGACTTCTCCTATATCCTTCTAAGCAGATGCACACACCAGACTTTCTTATGGAAGCACCACATGCAGGAAAAAATATTTGACTTCTCTTTTGTGTTTCCAGGGAGATGGTGAAAGGGTCATGATAATAACTGGGCCTAACATGGGAGGAAAGAGTTCCTACATAAAGCAAGTGGCCTTGATCACAGTCATGGCACAGGTTGGTTCTTATGTTCCTGCAGAGGAAGCGACAATTGGAATCGTGGATGGTATTTTTACCAGGTAATCTTTCAAAACTTGCTGTATATATATAGAAATGCTGCTGTGGCAGGGGGGTGTGTGTGTGTGTGTCTGTATATCAAAGTGTAATTTCATTTTTCGTTTAGAACTCCAGAATTTATACCTGAAGTTTCCCTTTTCATTTTAAAGGCATGTATTCATTGTTAAGTTTTGACTCTGATTTTCTGGAAAGCTAATGGTATTTGTATTGTAATCTTTGAATCTTCGAAGGATAACAATTTTACTGTATATGTCTTGATTAAGATCCAGATATCTAAATCATCTGCCTGAATGGACATCTCAGCCAAATGTATTCTACTGGGTGGCAGCCAAATGGTGTTTCCCCTAAAACGAATGTTGTCACCTCTGAAAGTCCTGTCACAGTTTCTACTGTCAAGTTCAGTTGTATACATTCACAGTATTTGAGACTGAGAATAATGGCAGTTTATTTCACTCAGTCTCATTTTTGAGGCAGTGCTGAGTAATTTGTAAGGATTATCAGTACAGTCAAAAGTCTGTATTTTATAATCTAATATTACTAAGGTTTATCCCTCTAATTTTCCCACTTTTTCTTTAATAATTTTTGTAATGAGCAAAAATTCTGTGTTACTGATGGTATTTGAGATGGATTTTTATCTGTGGTTATAAGTTTCACAGCAGTCATGTAATCTGTGCTAGAATTTCGTGAAATTCTAGTTCTGTGATGGCAGTAAGCATTCCAGAGTTAACTTTTAATGAGAACCTGAAGTAGTTCTCACCTGGGATTGCTTCATCTTATAAAGTGAAGTGTTCTTACTCTTCATTGTGTAATGACAAAAATGAATGAAATTGCACCTTGATGCAGTTCAGAGCTAAGCAAATTAGAAAACATTTGTATCGTCTTTCCAAAATTCATTGGAGACAAGAATTCAAAATGGTTCACTTCTTTCCCTGCCCTGTGTTGAGAGAAATTAACTGGTTGGTTGAATGAGCATTTTCTCAAGGGGACGCAGAGACACACAGGACCTGATTTGCTTTACAGAACAAACATTAAAATGTCACTAACAATTTGAAGATGATTTTTTTCTTCCTCTGTGTTTTGTAGCTGAACTTCTCTTGGGTTCACACTGACTGAATTTCTAATCGTGCAAGTCTGCTACTCTAAACCTGAGTATCTGCTTTCCTCTACTTTTCTTAGACTGTCATTGTAACAGGGTGATTTCTGCACAAAACATTAAGAAGTGTGACAGAGTCATTGGGAGAGATATTTTGTTTTGTGCCTGCTTGAAAGAGAACAAATTGGGGTTGTATCTGAGTTCCACCTGTTCCCCAGTGTATTTCCCTGATTCCACACCAAGTATTTTTTGCAACTTTTCTGTTAAAGTAGTGTGGTCAAAGGTAAAATTATGCTTTCAGATTTCAAGCCAAGCAGACCATTTAATTTGTAACCCACTCACACTCTAAAACAACGGATTGATTTTTTTTTTCTTCCCTGTCTATATTAGTTTTGGAAGCTCAGCTGGATATGCCACTCTTCATTTAATGTGAAATGTGTCAAACACCAGATGAATATATGGAAGAATTACTGAAATTCATGTAATTGCACTGGCAATTAAGAGTAAACTAATTGGCTCAATATTAATCAAGAAGAAATTGAAAATACATTATTAAGATAGAAGTAGTTATGCATTAGTTGAAAGGTAGCGGGAAGCAAAAGGGAGAAGGAGTAGCTTACCAGATGTATAAAGACTACAGGAAGTAGACATCTCTGGTTTTGTTTGTTTGGGGCTTTTTTGGGGGTTGGTTTTGTTTTTTTCAGGGTCCTGGAAAGGCCTTAAAGTAGGGAACTCTGTCAGGCCAGGTTAATGTGGTGTTGCATTCAGGATATTTCTCAGCCCTATGAAGTTATCCTTGAAACAGTTTTTAATGCCTGCTTTGAGAAAAGAATCAACAAATGAACTACCACATGTTGTGTCTTACCTTGAGGTTTAATGCTCTTTTCTAAAGTCTCAGCTTTTGCCCTGGACTCTTTGCTGGTAGGGAATGACCTGGAAGAGATCAGAAACTTTCTCTCAACTCACACCAATTTTGCTTTTTTTTATTTTCATCTTCTGTGTTTTGTTTTGGAGATTGACTTTGCTTGGATTTTTTTTTTTCTTATTAGTTGTTTTGATTTTATTTTTTTTAAGAACACAATGACAGCTATATGGACCTCCTTTCTGCATTGCCACTCCAGCCCAAAAGGGTCTTGCTGAAAAATTTTCTTCTTTTTTTTTTTCTTTTTTTTTTGTTGTTAATAGCTTTGGTATATTTTTAATACTTTAAAAACTTTGCATAAGAAGATTTACAAGTTAGTTCTGTCACTGCTGTGATGAGTTGTTTGTGGGGACTGTTCTTAGTGTCACACCCCTGGGATGCTGTGAGGATGCTGTACAGGCTGCCTCTGCATCAAGGGGTTCTGGGTATCAGGAGCACCAACAGTTCTGCTTGATAGATCTGATAGATCTGAATATTGGTGCTTTATACTGCAGCCACTTTTTTTGTTCATAGGCTGCATCTTCAAACTGTGGATTTATATAGATTTAAGAGATTTGTGTCTCTAGGATTTGTGAATCGTGTTCCAAAAGGGTTTCCATGGAAATTGAAAGGTTGCCACTATGGTTATTCCTTCTGATATACTGTATTTGCGTATGGTATCTTCCCTAAATTGACATTTTTAAAGATACAAAAGGAGTTGCTTATAAGTGGAATGAAAATAGGAGTGATCCAGCTTCATTATTAGTGTATAGACACAAGACTAAGGCTGGTCTAGACATTTGTAATATGGAGGGAGTACACAGTATTTTGAGGAGGTTTGATGCTTAATATTTGCTTCTTTTTTTTTCCCTTCTCCAATCAGGTTAATGTTTTCTTGCCACCTTTCCTTAAAGAATTTAACTTAATCAGTGTCATTTTATTTAAAAAACTTAGAATGGTTTTGTAAAGGTCAGCACCTGATATATATTGATTTGAGTATTTAGTTCTCTGATGTTTGAAAATTCCCATCCAAGTTTCTCCTTGCAGGAAATCTTAAAGCAGTTTTTGCTTTAAATTAACCTTCAGGTTTTTTTAGTTCTAATATAGTTATTCAGACATTGAAATTAAAATATTGTTTCTCTGCATGTTTGAGTAGAAAGACAAAGCAGGGGTGGACAGGCAAATATGGAGGAATTAATGAAAGGAATTCTGTTGGCCCAGTCATGCCCTCAGAAACGGTGATGTTTAGCTGCTGAAGCAAGCTGACCTCTAAAGAGGTCCCACTTCCAATCTATTATTGATGGAATTTCTCGTAGCCAGAAGACTTCAGCCTAACTCCTGTAGGTCAGCAGTAGCTCCTCATGAGAGTCAATTTTCAAAATTGAGAGAGAATGCTATAGCACTTTGAAGGCAAAACATGTTCAAATATACAGGCTAATTTAATAATTTAAATTATCAAATGCCTTGATTTCAAAATTTTGAGATCAATTTTTTTGAAATCACAAGCTACCGTAAGAAAGAATACTGCAAAGGACAGGAACTCTTGCCAACACTACATGATGCTACAGGGACAAAGAATTTCCTCTTACAGCACTTACCTGCCTGGCTTTCTCTTCTTGTGTTGAAATAAAAGCTATTTCACTTATTTCAGTGATCAGATGTGAGAAGGCACAGTCACACTACAGTGACCCACATCTTGCAGTGAAGTTTTATCCCATCAGCCAGGCTGGGAATGCTTTTAAAGCTGCAGGTTCAGTTATGTACACTAATACAATGCCCTGTGCTTCAAGTACCTTTCAAAACTGCCCCTTGCAAGTGATCTGCCACTTGCTCAAAGGTTAAAGGAATGAACAAAGGCATCAGTAAGATGCATGTAGATTATTCTCTCGTGCACTTTATCTCTCCTTGCTATTTGCAGACTCTCAGCATGACTTGAATTCTCATGGTATCAAACACAGTTTGAATTGTCTGCGAAGGTAAATTAGGAAGACAGAGGGGTGCAGGAGGGTGGCAGTACAGGTTAACAGGTGAGGGTGGTGGGTTGCCTAGGTGAGCAAGAGTTCAGTGTTCCCACTCTACCTGACACATGCATTTACCTGCACTTTGAGGCCATTGTCTGAGTATAGTCCCTGCACCTCATGTGATCTGCATTTAGGTGTACAAAATTTTGTCCTACATTTTCTCCTTGTAACAGATGATCTAAAGCTATTTTTAACATGGAAGATACTCCTCATTGCTGAGTGTGCTGGTTTAAAGGTAAACCAGCAGGGGAAATGAGCTCAACTCAAAAGAGAGATTATAAGTCAGAATAACAATTTAATAAAATAATACAATAAGTACAATTATACAGACAAACAATTGGTTTTAACCCACAAAACCCAAATATATAACCCAGCACCCTGGGGCATGAACAGAGTGGTGTTCTTTGGGCCCCCTGATTCCAAAGGAAAAGGAGAGGGGAAAAACCTGTTGGTGAGAGTGCTGTTGCAGTCTGGTCAAGGGTGGTGACTGCAGTCCGGTCGAGAGTGATGGTTGCAGTCTGGTTGAAAAGTGGTGGTTGCAGTCCAGTCGAGAGAGGTCATCTGCAGTCAGGTTGAGAGCGGTGATCTGCAGTCTTCCTCTGGATCCCATGAGTGGTAAAAAAGGTCCCAAGACTCCAAGTTCAGGCAGTACCTCAGTGCCTCCCTCAGAGCGGGAGGGGTGGGGTTGTGGTGTTCCTTAATGGGTGTGAGGACAAGAGCAACTCCTGTCTCACAGGCCTCTTAGCACCCAGTTTATAGCCTGAGGAGTCAGGCTCTATGTGCAGATGGTGTAAATGGTTCATTGATAACAGTTTCTGGGAAATGGCATGGAGGGCTATAGAATACACAGTTTTGGGTTACACCCATCCAGTGATGAACTGGTCTCAGCTATCCTAACTAGGACACTGAGTCTGTAGTTAGGAGATATAATTTTCTTCAAGTTCTACTCTATATCTGAAAATGTTGTGAAAACAGATGGTTATTGCT